CACAAGCTGGTCAAGCAGAATGATCATGGTGGAAAGGGTACAGAGTACCTGGACACCAGTGAAAGTAAATGTTGGATCTTAAAGAATATGAGTTTCGGAATCTGCAGCCCAAAACTGGTGAGGTGTCACCTTTAGAATCCATTCTTTCTGGCTGACAGGAGGGAGAGTGTTACGCAGGTTTCTCTGCTGTAGGTTCAGTCATTGTGAGGTGAACGGGTTCAGAGCAGAGGGGTTTCCAGCAAAGACTGTTTAACAAAGCAGACAGACGACTTAGGGCAACTCTTCCTGGTCTGTCAGTGTCCAAGCAGGGCCCGGGGCAAGTGCTGGATGTCACTGGGACAGAGCGAATCCTGATATTACATTTTTCAATCTGGAATTTCGCTTTGTCTGAAGCGTAAATGCTTTTAAATCGAGACAGCCAGCAGACCACAACAGCAATTTCCTGTTGTCTTTGAGGGGTTCTTTGCCTTTCTTGTCCACTGCCATTTATTACATTATGTAGCTTAAAGCGGGCTGATATCCTCACAAATATGAGACCAGGTAAAGGGGACTCCATTGAATTGTGGGCATTTTTATGACCGCGTTGTCTGGAATAGCTCTGAAGAGGTTTTGACAGTTTATTGGCTCACACAGGGAAACCAGAGCAGGACATTAGGCAAGGGGAAGGTATCTAAATATAGGTTATATATTTTTATTAGAGTCTGACAAGACAAATGAGTATCTAACCACAACTTCAACATCTATATAATCTACACAATCCATTTCTGAGAAGCACAGCAGTATGAGAAATAAGGGTTGGCAAAGACAAGGGCCCCAAGCATCTGTACAAAAATGTTTTATTGTGGTTCTGAAATGAAAATTGAAAAAATATTTTTGGACTGTTCTTTCCTCTACGACACTGCAGAAGAAAGTTGTACAAAGTACGTTATCTGAGACTGGATACCCTGGAAAAATAGCTGAGTCATGGCTGTAGGGAGGGCAATGTTGGTATCAGTCCACTGCTTACGGTTACTGAACAAATATTGGGTACATTGGTATGAAATGATGTATAGGCCCCCAAGGTCCCCAGTGCCCTCATGACCCCGCTGACCCTGAGGTTGACATTTATCATTATTTACTATGTTTTAGTTTGCTAGTCATTCCATATGCATGGATGTAAGTTCCTGATAAGATGAATAGTTATTAATTTGGTCATCTGCAGACTTTTTATCTAATGCCACCAGCAGGTATATCATATCTTCTTGAAGGATTAGTGCTGTATTTTGCACAGACATTCATGGTTTACACAAGATATATTTTAAGAACTTTGACAAGCACCCCACTTTTCCCATACCCCCGAAGTGGGTAACATTTGGGTTTTTTTTGTGAAAAATCTCCCGAACTGTTGGATAGATTTCCATGAAATTTAGTACTTCTGTTCAGGCTCCCTTTTGTAAACCTCTGACTTTGGATCTTTCATCATCAACAGGTCAAAGTTTGAAGATGTTCAGTACTTCTGTTTATGACCAAAAAGCTGTAAAACTACTGAGTCCTATCAGCTTTGATTGTACTATGTGTTTAATGTTAGTGCATATTATTGTTTGCAATAGCATGCTAACAGACTAAATGAAGATGATAAACATTATCATGTTTACTTTGCCAATGAAAATAACTATACTTTTTTATTACATTTATTTCACTCGGGGTTCTATGGAATGAAAACACATTCTGGACCTCAGTTTTTATCCATTTTACAGCTTGTTTATGACAGTGAGCATTGCTTACCTTACTGCTCCTGGCCTGACACTGAAAAGCAAACGAAGCCTCTCCAGTCTGAGTTTTAACTAGTGGCAGTACGGTTATGATTAATTCTGTTAGGGTAGCACAGTGTTTGTTTTCGGAGCTTCATAACCCTCATCATATGGGGAAACCTGAGAGTGTAGAGCACTCTGCCAGCATGGGGTGAGATGAGGATTCAGAGTGTAAAGACAAAGCAGGAAAACCAGCAACAATCCTGAAACCTGACACAATGGTCTCTCGTTACTCACGAAAAAAAAAAAAGCAGACGACAAAAACATTCAAACTCCAGCTGCACTATTTTTTCCCACAAGTTTCACTTGACCTACCTGCAGAACTGAGAAAAACAACATTGTCTGTACATCTTCTGTCACATGTGCTGGCTTGTCTTTTACCTGTTTTTTTCAACTGTGATATTATTTTTCATTCCTACCAAAACATGTCACTCACTTCTGCCTTCGTCATCTTCACTACATCTTGCACAACAATCAGGAAAGGCTTCACTAACATGAAGCCAACGGGCTGGTGTCACACTGCCCTACATTTCTGGTAACATTCACTGCGTCCAAAAGAGTTTGTCTTGTGGTTTGTGGATAATTTTGAGATACGGTTTGTAAACTTTACAGCTTGCCATGCTTGTGCCCCTGCAGACCTCTGTGTACAAAATGTTACAGCACATAAACTAAAGTGCACTGATTCAACTGACAAAGTTTAAATTGTCAGAGGACAGCACTACCAGATCCATGTTTAATGTTACGAGAAAACTGTTGGTTGGTAGTCAGAAAACTCTGACTTTATTCGATAATACTTTAACTCCTTGGTAGCTTAACTTGGACTTTTTGAGCCATTTGACATCTGAGGTCTCTGATAGCTCTCTAAATACACATAAAGAAATGACAATCAGGGCTGCAAGGTGGATCGGTGGTTAGCACTGTTGCCTCGCAGCAAGACGGTTGCCAGTTCACGTTGTGGTTAGGACACCGTGATCTTTCTCTGTGAAGTTTGCATGTTCTCTCCGTGCAGCGTGGGTTCTCTCCGGGTTCTCCGGCTTGCTTCCACACAGTCAAAAAACATGTTGAGGTTAATTGTTGTTTCTAAATTGTCCATAGGTGTGAATGTGAGTGTGCTTGGTTGTCTGTCTCTAAGTGTAGCCCTGTGATAGACTGGCGACCTGTCCAGGGTGTCCCCGAAGTCAGCTGGGATAGGCTCCAGCCCCCCCGCGATCCTAGTGAGGATTAAGTGGTGTATAGATAATGGAAGGATGAATGGATGGATGAAATGAAAATTAGACAGCAGCATACAAAAAAGAGGCCAGGAAAAAGTCAGTCAGTCCAGAATTTATAGCAGTGGGGAACATAAAAATTTCACAGTGGTAATGGGCTGTAAAATTGGTATACAAGTGCAGAATGAATTATCATTAAAAAAAAAAAAAAAGTTTTCTAGGAAATATACACACTCTTTTGTTTTCGGTGTTTAAGTGACGGATAGCATAAGGCATGTCATATAGAACCATCTAAACATGGAACTGGATTTAATGATGACTTTAAAGAAATTGTTTATTTGACATTGCACAATAACCCTCGTTGCTTAATCGTTTTAATGGGGTAGTGATGCTTTGATCTGCACAGAAATATACCCTCTATGAAGTCTAGATGCTGGTGTTGTGGAGCAGGGGTGAAGAATGAAGATTTGAATGAATATGATGTGGAGCAGGACAACTGATGAGTTTATTGGAAAGACACATGGACACTGGTTCTGGCGGAGGTGAATGTGGTGGAGGAGAGTTGTATCGATCTGGCACTGAGATGAGAGCAGAGAGGAATGGTTTTAAAAGCCAGGAATGATTGGCTCTGAGAGGGGCTGTGGCGAAGTCTGATTGGCTTAATAGACGGAGGAACGCCCTCAGTCCACGCAGGAAGAGAGAGAAAAAGAATGTAAACGGATAGTATAACCGTGAGATAGTCTTCCTGATTAAATCTCACTAAGCTTCTTTTGTGTACTCATGTCCTCTGTCACTGTAACTGTTTTTTCACCAATTTTGTGCTTGCAATATCTTAAGGTTTGCATTCTGGCTGTAAGAAGCATTTGTGGAGCAGTTTTTCTCCAAACTTTATTCAGCTCTGTTCCTCGTTGCTGAATCCCCAAAAAAATGAGTCCTGCAATGCTGTTACTATTTTCAGGATTGCCTTAAATGTGTCCCATGCATCTTAACTTAAGATCTGCTGCAGCACATCACAGCGGTATTTACCCTTAGACTCACAGAAGACTGCTGACCAAGGACTGAGCAAACACTGCAGATGTTTCCTGTGGTCACAGTTTTAGCTCTACTAAAGCTACTACGATACTCATTCTGGTTAAAAATAATGTGAGACTAAAAATCTGCAAATCTGAGCAGGATTCCAACATGGTAATATGGGATGTACTGTATGTATACAAACACAGATATGTGTCATTCACTTGATAAGCTAAATAAAGTTGAATAATGTTATTGTGGTTCCAATGGGGTTTTTTTTTTAATGTATTAAACTACAAATTATAGTATTACACAAAATATATTATTTTGGATATAAAATTAGATAAAATAATAACAGATTTTATCGTTATTCCTTATTAGTTACTCCAAACAGAATCTTTTTTGCAAACTTAATTTCTGGAGTGTTGCTCGCGTGATTATACTGTTTGTTGCCGGGATTGTTTTTAGTAACATTTAAGGAAGTTATATGTGATGGTATAGGTAGATGCTGTCTCCATGATGTGTAAATATATCAGACCAAAATGTTTTTCTGATAAATATGCGATACTGCTGCTTCTTTTGCAGTTTTGAGTCATTGTACACTTACCATTATAAAGCCAAGTAGAGTCTTTGTAGGTTTTACGAAACATTGTTTTCTATACGGTGACAAAAGTGGAAGCAAACACAATCTACAACATGATGAACAGTCAAGATAACAAAAAGGAAACTCATGACACGTGCAAGGCTTTGATGACTGGTTGCCTAATCAAACTACTTGTACAGTGTGTGTGTTTGTGTATCTATGAGTGAATGTGTGCTTGAAAACAAGAGCAGCAATGTTCAGTTATTGCAACATCAGTCTTTGCTTTGTGTTCAGCGACAATCTTAGCAGGATGTTCTTAAGAGTTTTCTGTTTTGAAATGATAATCACCGACAGATTGCCTCATTCATTCATCCTCTGTGGCTTCCTCTCTCTCTCTGTCTCCTGCAGCATGGGTGGGCTCCCTTTCCATGGGGATGATCTTCTTCTGTTCTCCCATCGTCAGCATCTTCACCGACATGCTCGGCTGCAGAGTTACCGCAGTTGGTGGCGCTGCTGTTGGCCTTGTCGGCCTCCTGGCCAGCTCCTTTGTTTCGTAAGGAATCACATAAGTTCATCATGGCATCACTGCATATGTAACACCTACTTTTACAAATTCACTTGGGATATTGAGTAACTTCAGTCAATCCTCAGATTTAGCTAATGGTCATAGTTTATATTAAAGATCAGGAGCAATTTTTCTTTATTTGTATTTCTGTTTGGATAGGTATTATTTCAACCACTTTTGCATTTGGCATTCAGCCTACATTTGCACTAATCCCTTTTCATTTTAAAACAGATTTTTAGAAAGAGCACAATCTCCTCCCTGACATGTGCATTAGCTCAGTTTTAGAAATAATCTCCATTCATACTAAGATGCCTGAAATCGCACGTGACATGAACATTCATGTGCACTGGGCACGTAAGCACTAGTGTAGACATTAAGCAGAGGAGGAACAGCAATGGCAAAAAGTAAGACCAGAGATTTCCTTAATCTACACAAAAGCTGCTACTATAGACAACAATACTGGCAACACCTGCAGCCTAAATCCTTATCTATATTGAACAAACCACTGGTACTCTAGGCATATGTCTTGCGATAGAAGCATGATATAAACCAGGAAATGAATGTAGTGACGATTCAAACCAGTGACAAAGTAAATATGGGAGTCATTGTCATTTCCGTGGAGTTTTTTTAGATTTCTTTCTGAACACTTTAAATCGTCCTGTCCATGTTTTCCTACAAGTTGACATTCAACAATCATTCTTGACATTGAAAACAGTGGTTTCCAATGTCCTTTTAGTAGCTGTTTTTGAGCTTTTTATTGTATCACCCTCTTCAGTGGAGTTGCCCATTTGTCACATTTAATCCAGCTTTTACCAGATGTCCTTAAAGTGCTGAGAGGACTCGAAATTCCATGAGTGGCAAAACTCAATCTGCTGACGGGTGTATAAAAGTTAATGATTGCTTGCTAACACCATAACATATCCGTCATCATATACTGTATAACATTGTCATAGTCTAAGTCCTAATAGTCCATACACAAAGCATCTGTTACTGTTTCACACATGATGTACAAATAAATCTGGGTTCAAACCTGTTATTACACTTGTACATGACCTGATATAGTATGTTATGTAGTATTAAAAGGAGGAGTTGTAGTTACTGATAAAAACCCAAAAAATAGATCTATCGATATATCTCCTTATAGCTACATTATGTTTACCCTTATTTTCAAGGGGTTGAAGTAAAGTCATCACAGCCAAAGTGAAATTCTATACTTGGGAAACACTTACTTGGGAAACAAGTACTTGGGAAACACGGAGCCTAATTTGTGGAGTTAAGCTGATCTCACTAAACAAAGCATATTCCTTACATTTTATCATGACTCTGTGGGTAAGAGGCTCTGCACTAACACTCTGCTGTTAATAATTTCCTAGAATCACATTCTGGTCGACACGTGAGGAAACACTCACACAAGCATATGGAAAAGTCTGATTCCAACAAAGCAGCAAGTGCGCTGCTCTCACGCTGTTATCACTTTAAAGTGCACTAAAGAAATAAAACACTTGAATTACTGCTTATCAAGTGACTGCCAGTTTCAAAATTGCTGAGCAGGTTGATCGACAAGTCCAAATAGGACTTTGAAACTCACATGGAAGCACTGCTCTGTGTATATTTGAACCTTAAATGCAAGAAATGAACAATTTTTGGTTTCTTAAATACACTATTTGGCGTAAGTTCAGAGACTTTGAGGAGAAAATTTTCCAACAGTCGTGCCAAGGCGTCGTGCCTGAACAGTATTAAAGATTTGTCAATTCATCTCAGAGCTATGGTAACAATGGAACAACCTGCTCTGTGTTGTTCAAGTTTTATTTGCTCAGGAAGGATCACAGAGATCCACAACTATTGCACAAGACAAACCTCAGAACAAATGACGTAGGACATCACAACAGCACAGTCACACAAAGCAGTCATCACTCACACAGACACACTAATTAATACATTCACACGTGTTATTAGAAATGTCGCTAATTAGAACTCCTCTTGCCACTAGAGGCTGTTTTTCACTGCAGGAACTTGCGGCCTTTGTTTTTTTAGGGCACCACAAACATTTATGTGTTTTGAACGCAAGAACCACCCCTTTAGAACAGCTGTTGTTATTATATTTTCTGAATATGCAACAATGCCCAGGTTAGGCAAGGGTTCGCAAGGGTCTGCTATAGTCCAAGTGATGTAAATTTTATCATCTCCTCAAGTCAACCAAGGTTTGCATGGGTTCCTCCAAGTACAAGCCAAACTGCAGCTTTGAATACATGGATACAACCGATTGTGCATGTAGAGAAAGAAGTCCTTCTAGAAATAGAAATCTCTAGAACTAGAATACTAGACTATAAATAGCTAGAACTATGCCTCTGTGGTGTCCATAGCTGCCCAGAAACTATAATTTGGGCCAAAGAACTAACAGTAGCCAACTGTTTTCTGGGAGATGTCTTTTTTTGTCCTTGAAACAAGACTAATGTAATTTCTGCATCAAAAGGCTGTACGGTGATGTATCGTGTTCTTTTCTTTCCTCATAGGTCCCTGGGCGTCATGTACTTCACCTATGGCATTGTGTTCGCATGTGGCTGCTCTTTTGCCTACCAGCCCAGCCTGGTCATCCTGGGCCACTATTTCAAGAAGCGTCTGGGTCTGGTGAACGGCATCGTGACGGCAGGAAGCAGCATCTTCACCATGACCCTGCCCTTCGTGCTGTCAGGCCTGCTAGAACGAGTGGGCCTTCACAACACCATGCGTGTCCTCTGCATCCTCATGTTTGTGCTGATGCTGGCTGGCTTCACCTACAGGCCCCTGCTGCCCGTGAAACCCGTTAGCTCCCAAACAGGAGGCTCACGCATAAGACAGATTTTTAACGTCAACATCTGGAAGTCTTGGGGATATCGCATTTGGGCATTCGGCATCCCTGCAGCCCTCTATGGCTACTTTGTGCCTTATGTTCACCTGGTAAGTTTGTGTTTTCTACCGTTTTCATGCATCTTCTGTCTAAATCATATTGATTACACCGACTTGCATAAGTACTGTGTGTTTATGTGCTGTTTGTGTTGCTGAGTAATCCACCTCTCCCCCAGCCAAAGGTCAAATAAATGTCAAATAGCAACACGTAAATGCCAAGAGCAGAACTCTGTGGTGTGATTTCCAAGTATTCCAGTCCTATGTTCTAGATTTGTTTATTGGCAAGAGAGAGGAATAAAGGTGAGAGGTTAGCTCGGGAGCATCAACAACACACTTATCCAAACACATGCCTGCAGTATGAGTTATAGTAATGTGAAAGGTGAGAGGAAGGGAAGTTGAAACTGCAGCCAGACATTTCCAGACATTCAGTGATGGTACAGAGTGTCTCTGACTCTTAGCCCTTCAATATTTAGGGAAATGTAGCCAACAACGTTACCGCCGCAGACGAGGAAGGTCTAAGTAAGGTGAAAGCACAGGAAGAACTTGTTCTTTTATGTAAGGAGCAATACAAAATGAGACTCATTTCAAGTTGGCTGGAAAAACACTTAATTTGAGCTAATTTCCAGAGCTCCTTCATATATACTGTAATCGAATCTGCTGTCTTTTTAAAATCTTACTGGCATATGATTTTTATTTTGTTGGTTGAGTTTAAAAATGTCTTTTCCAGACAAATTTTCCTGGACCCAGTGTCAGCCTGATAACTTTATAAATGTTGGATTCACTAGCACCATGGATAACTGTTATGAGACAGACCTTTGCCCTGCATTTAGAAACACTGAACACAAAACTTAAACGGTTTCACATCAAAAATCTGTTTAGTGCCACTCATGAAGCTTTGCAGCATATGAAATGAGCTCTCCCATTTGTCATGTAGTTGTGAATATTTTTTAAATTTTCTATCCAATAGAATATTGCAAAGCTGAATTTTTGAAAATATTTTGGAACATACATTGCTTGCATACATATTTGGTACCTCATTTTGCATTACAACTAAGCCTCTACCAAACATGAAAGTGCCAGTAACTGCAATTTCTTAAACGGCCACTTGAAGTTGGCTTAAAAAAGTGTGTACATCCCCTTAGACCTTCGTGGTAAAATGTCTAACTTTACAGCAGAAATAAACATAGTTACAGCTTGGTTATGCTCACTATACCTAATTGTCTTGTCCATGACAACTGTATGGGAGATTGATTTTTATAGAACTCACCTGTTTGAAATGTATTACAGCTTAAGGGTCTATTAAGGGAAAGACTCGCCACTTAAACAATCGTGAATAGAATTCTGTGAGAGCATTATAACAAAATGAGACGTTTCCTGCCAAACCAGGAAACATCCAGCCAGTCATGTTTTTGCACTCATGGAAGCGCGGCATTATAAACCTGTCTTTCAAATTTGCAGTTATGGCTCTCTTTCTGTTCATTTAGATAGGGGGAAAAACTGTCCACGGGCGTTACCAAGATGGCTGCCAAGCTGCACAACATGCCTATCACAACTTTGACAGAAATATTGCAACAAATGATTAAATAAAATCAGTCTGCATGGTTAGAAATTACCAGAGGTAGCTGATTTTGTAGTTTGGGTGGCCTGACCCTCTAAAAGTTTACATTCAGGAGATGTTTACCACCTCTTAAAATCCTGGATCCAAAGGAGGACACTCTTGTGTTCAGAACTCAAACTGTACGCCACAGCAGCTTCCTGATTACCGCACAGCAGCACATGTCCACGTGAGATACTTCAGCTGTGTGGTCCTGGTGAATGTAGCCAAATATGAGAGGAAGGCTCAATCTACAGCTCTCGTTTCAGTCACGACACAGTCTTGTAAACAGGTATTGCTTTCCCTGAATCAGGTTTTATTTCAACTTTAGGATGGGAAACTATGACTTTGGAGAAAACATCTTCTTGGGAGGGCTGCAGAGGAGAGAGGCTGGATATTTTGGACAGACTCGGGAGGTGACTGTTTATTTGGACACGGTGACTCTGTTATTGGAGCCTGTCCCGGGGATCCCAGCCTGTGTTTTCCCAACACTTCTCCTGTGTCTGCTACTCAGACTGGGTCACCACAGGGGCTCGACTGCAGCCTCAGCACCACCCTTGGCCTTATAGCCCCAGCACCCGTGCCTCCCTAGACAAAGTGCTCCCCACCCTGCACTTAAATCCAGGCTCCAGCCTTGTGACACTGCATGGGAAGGAGGAAAAAACATAGGTCAAACAGCACATTGTTGAGCCTTTCAGGAAGGGAGTCTTATCAGGCCCTCAAAACTCCTCCATACTTTTCTGTCTGGTTCTGTGCTGGTGTGTGCACAAGTGTGTGCTTCCCTGAACAAAATGCTGAGTGCAGCTTTTTACAGGAGCACTGCTGCAGCTCTGTGTCTGTTTTTCCTCTTACCAAATCAAGCTGCACGTATCTGAAGACTGTAAAAGGGTAAAGTCCAATTTGAGACACCCACACGCTTTTCCACATATGGTTGATTTGAGAAAAGTCACTGGCCTTCATGTGTTTGTTCTGTAACCGGGTTGATAAAAGGTGTGTCAGTGTATTGCTAAGGACAGAAGGGTGAAGGAATCTAAATGTGTGCTTTTGCAAAATCAACCAACAAACTCAAAAAGAGCACATTTGAAAGTCTGATTGTATCATCTAGACTGATAATTCACGTTGCTGAATCAGTGCATCTGAATCATCAAGGATTCCCGTTAGCAGCATACAAAATTTACTTTTCTCTATAAAGCTGTGCCTGCTTTTAAAATGAGCTGGTTTCAGTGTGTTTAATGAGGAGCACCTGCAGGGCTGTGGTGCGTGGGCTAGAGGAGGGCTGGATGTTTAATGACCATTAAACAGCCAAGAGGAGAAGGTGGTTTGGTGCAGTGTGGGGCTCTGAGAGGGAAAATCCTCCCTAAAATACTGTTGCAGCAGAGTTTAAGAGTGCATTTCAATTAACGTGTTGTATTTTGTAATTTACTGCAATAGCTTGTTACTCTGTAGTTAACTGCATGCAGCATGTCGTCTTAATTCCTCTATAATTAGCTATAACTTTACACAGCACACATTTTGACATGTCACAGATGAAGCAGCACAGGTTTTGATAATAACTTCATTGCTGGTTCTATCGCGCTTAAATGGAATTCAGCAGTCATTAATGTTATTAATCACACCTGTGCTTGACAAGTCAAAGTGAGTGCTGTGGGGAAGTCTGTAGGGGAAAAAGCAATCCCATTGAAAGACTAAGGCCTTACAGGGGTGTATTTAAAACCGGTTTTAACTCCTTTGCTCTCAAAAAATCTTTTTCCACATGAAAAAACACAATTGAAGTGCTGTCAAGAGCCGAAACGACAGATGGTCATGTAACCCTAAGCCTAAAGCCATGTTAGCCAATAGAGAAAAAAAACTTTGACCGGCTCCAGTAGGCTACCAACAATACCAGCGCTTTGGTTTCTTAATAAAGTGGAAGAGTAACTGTTCATTTATGTGTAATTATTTAAAAAGCGTTGTTAGCATGACACGTCCACCAATACTCAACATTTCATCATGTAAACAAAAAACATGTACAAACTCTGACATCACAAGCCAAAAACACTTAAACACTGCAAGCAGATGTTCTGAATATCTTCACCTTGGAAGGAGGTTTCCAAAAGCTCAGTTTCAATGACCCAAAACTGCATTTACATGTGGACTAAATGGCAAAAGGCATTGAAATAGTGTGGACAGGGAGTGTGACCAGATCCTGACATATTTCATCTCGTTCCTCCGTGTCATAGACCTCAATGTAGACTGTGGGTATATACATGCTATTTTCATGTTGTGTTCTTTTCACCTTCTGCTATCTGCATGTTACTGTTTTAAAAAACCTTTTCGCTCCCTTCACGTTGCAACACACACACATCCTAGCTTCTTGACTGTTCTTTCAGTTAATTAGCCATTTTAATGACAGCGCTAACCTGCTTGCTTTTCACGCTTTTTGTAATACCAAGCTGGAATATTAAGTCTCAACTTTTTCCCTCAGAATACTGTCAGGGTTTTGTTTTTTTTGTCTATGTTGCTACTAACCTCCCGACCTTAAGTTAATCAACTAATCATGCTAGATGCAGAAAGTTGCAGGTTGTGGGTCAAAGGCATTATGAAAAATGTAGGAAGTGACTGATTTTAGCAATAGTGCACAGGTTAGATTGTTGTTACAAGTTGAGCTTGTTTGTGTGTGTTTGTGTATTTTGTGGGGTTATGATGTTCTATCCCGACAGGCTACCTGCCAGACTGAGAGTTACATCACATGAGCTAGTGTACCTGAAACGTGATCACAGACACATACACTTGTCCAAAAAGTAAACACTCTGCTGCAATCTTTGGTTCTCTTTAATGCAGCCATGATAAGCCATAGTTTTTACCTCAAATAAATATTTGTATCTAATTTTCAATCACAGGTTTTTGCCCATCACTCAGGGGATTGGTGGATAAATTGCTTCATGTATTATCATCTTAGTTAGTGTATAGGGATGCGAGGGTACAGTGGAGCCAGTGAAAGACTTATTGTAGACAAGTATTGATCAGTCTGTATTTACGTACCAAAGCTCCATGATAAACAGTAGCCTGATACAGGATGGGGCAGGGTTAGTGTAAGCACGGTTTTATCTATATGACCATCTCATTTCATTAAAGACAGAGGAGGAGCACAGTTGCACTTTGTTTTGTGTTCTTTTTATTTGTAGTGAGTAAACACGTGATACAGCACCAGCCTGCAACATAGCAGGAAGCCTCGAATACATAACAGACATAATTGATGTAGCGTGTGAATGAGTCAGAGAGGGAACGTCTTCTTGTGTCTGCCTCAAACATCCAGTAACAGCTACCAAGTCCATCACTGACCAAGGCATTATATTTTATAGGTCCTCCTCATATCTGTCAGATAATCTAATAGTGTGGCATCACAGCGGTGAGGCTGTCTATCTGATAAATCTCACTGAATTGTCAGACATCATTGTGGGGTAGTAGATATGTGATGTTCCTGCTTGTTTTCTGTGCTCAGTCATTTCTTAAATGTTCGCTGTTATTTTGCGTCTTTGCTACATGGTCATCTTGACCTGTGGCAGCTGGCTGAAGCAGAGTTACACCATCAACAAACTGCATAAAGAATCATCCATCTCTTTCTAGATTGAAAAAAAAGAAGTGATGTGAGGTAGTAAATTATATATCTGAACAAAGTCTTATGAGTGGTGAAATTTTAACCTTGTGAACCTAAAAAGGTACTGACGAGTTTGACAGGGCATATTATCAGGGAGAACATGCAAACTCCACGCAGAAAGATCCCGGTGCCCTCACCAAGATGTGAACCAGTGACCTTCTTGCTGCAAGGCAACAGTGCTACCAACTGCTCCACCTTGCAGCCCTAGCACTAACCAGATTCTGTAAAATAAATTAATAAATACAAACTGTTCTGCACTTGTCAGCACAACTGAGAAGCCGTGACTGACTCACCTGTGACCAACAGTCACATGACAAAAAATTTGGCAACTTATCAGATGAACTGCAGACTGTGTTTGCACAGAGCAGAGAGGACATGATAAGAGAGGCTGAGAGCAAAACATACTTGATCAATTGAATCAGTGCGGCATGGCACAAAAAGAATATACAGAGGAGTATGTTGCCTGCAAGTTTTTGTAGGATGCATTCAGCATGGTGAAATATCTTTCTGTAGTTGATGTGCAGAGTAGTGTGGAAAATGACGAGTTTGTAGAGAGTTTAACAATGTAAATTAGCTTAGCCCATCTGTAGGTAACACCTGTAGACACTTGGTGAAATGTTGTACATGTTGATCACAGTTACTTTTTAGTGATTTATGGCATTCTAACTGTGTTCTACTAAACCTAAGACATTTTTGAAATCTCTACTTCTGGTCACAGTTTCCATTGAGGTGCAAGACTTCCTTTATTCAGTTTTTACCTACAGCCACTTAGGAGGTATCTGAATAACACTGATTAACTGCTCACTGCTTTATAACTATTCATGGTAGTGATAAGCTAAAAGGGAGTGGTGTGTTTATCATGTGAACCTTTCAAACAGAACTTTACCAGACACATCTGGCTTCTCAGTAAGAAACTCCTCCCCAGGGTCAGCCTTGATTCAGAGTCCTTATCATCAGTTACTCTGCTGATGCATGAACGTGTACATACACTGAGCCTCCAGTTGTCACGCCTGCAGCAGTACTTCGCTGAGCTGAGCACTCCTGAATACAGAGCATGTTGCTGTTGCATTCTGAGAAAGGCGATAAGTCATCCAGAGGTCTTTGGAGATGGATGTGTGTCCTGCAGATGGAATTGGGTGTGATCATTGGGGTTGTAAAGGCAGCAGACAGACAGGCCCTTTGAGCAGCACTGCTGCAGCCCGCCTGGAGGTAGAAATAGCTGGCTGAGCTCCACAAAGCAGCCCCTTTTTCTCTCTAGCTCTCAAACTCGGGGCCTCCCAGATTGGTGCTTTGGGAAAGGGGGGATGTTGCCACAGAAAATCTGCAAAGCTGAATTCTGTGCTGCTTTTCCCCAAGTCTGAAGTGGAAACTAGCATTTACTGGCAACAACAACAACAAAAGATAAATGAGAAATGGGGAAATTCGGACAAGGGTGGATAAGGTTGCTGATAAGTAGCAGGCTGTGATGTGGTAACAGCACCTAACTCATACATGAAAAATGGCTGTTACAGTTGTGATCAGGGAGTTACCTCTCTGTTTGGAAAACTGGACGTGTGAAATTGCTTATTTGTCCTCAATACTGCCAAAAGCATCACTTTTGATCACACCCAGATTTCTGCAAAAGTATGCACAATGTGGACCCATTCCATGCATCCTCAGCACAAATAGTAGACTTCCTCCTTTTTTCACAGCAGTGTGCGTCTGGAGCTGAATAGTTTCCTTCTAATAAACTGCTGTTGTTGTAATAATAACTTGCTTGATAAAAAGAAAGTGCAGCACTCCTTGTAGATCTCTTTAAAGCTCTTGATACTGCAAATTGTTGTTTTCTTATTTACACTTTATGAGTCCCACAAGAATCCAGATTAGGCCCCCTCCGGTTTATAGATAATACTATGTTAAAAATGTAAAATGTCCATGTTTGTGCTGACTTCTCCATCTTGTATACCAGCAGCTCTACCTCAGTCCTTCTCCAGGTCTTCTTTTGGTGGCCTCCACACCACTTAATTAAAGCTTGTTTAAAACTCTGAAAATGCAAGATGTTAGATCTTAACAAGAGCACAGAACTTTACATTGCTATCTTGATCTCAAAAGAAACTTAATTGTTGAAGTAAAGAATTATATGTACGTGGTCAGATTGTCTGAAAAACTGTTCTTTCTAAAATCTAAAAACGCTTCTTTCAAAAACTCCTATAAAGTTTTAAGACTTGTAGAATTCACTGTACAGTCTACATTGGATTATGGAGATGTCGTTTATACTCGTGCTGCTGCTGCTACCCTTAAATCACTGAAACCACTTTCACACTTACCATGCAAGTTAAATTTAAAGTGCAGTGGTCATCCCTAACATTTTGAAGGCTCTATTGTCCAGGTTGCTTTAACACCCAAGATCCCTTGGTGAACTGAAAGTGAGAAGCCGTGACATCAATCAGGGTTGCAATGCTTACTTCCTCTAGTTCCTTTAATCTCTGAACTGGGGAAGACTGGTTTACAGTTTTATGCACTTTATGGCTGAAAGGAGCTGCAAAATGAGTCAACTGTGTTCATCTGTTTCATTTATTGTCCACAGATGAATCACGTGGAGGAGCGTTTTGGAGCAGACACTAACAAAGAGATTCTGCTCATGTGCATCGGCATCACGTCATGTTTTGGCCGACTCATCTTCGGCAGAGTGGCAGACTACATTACGGGAGTCAACAAAATTTACCTGCAGGTATGTGTGTGGCCGTGACGGTTAAATATCCAGACTTGCATATGAAAGCAGAAGCTCTGACCACTGAAAACTCTCTGAAACAGCATTTGAATAATCATATGATGATCATGCTACACTAAAAAGTGTCACATTTAAACCAGAGTAAGATGATAAAAGTCTTATTATGAAAGGTCTTTAAATTTGGAGAAAAAGTTTAAACAGTACATAAATATTTTATTATCTTTACATGTTCATATGTATGCATTTAGAAAAGAAACTCTTTTTGGAAATAAAAGCTGGCAAAATTCACAACATAGATCAGTGCATTAAACATTTTTAGATTTTGCTCATTTTAAATATTGTTTTGCATCCGGTATTGGATCCATGTTGATACTGTGGTTGGTTTAAAACCCTTTTCTGGCCCTAACACACATTCCTTATATCTTAGCATTACCTTTTAATAGTAGAGCTTTTAAAAAGAATAACATTTGATCTTAAAAATTGTGCAGATACCCAGGGACGTTGCGATAGCTCACTTGGTTGAGCTGGTGTCCCATATACAGGGGCTAAAGCCCATGACGCAGTGGTAGTGAGTTGGAATCCAGCTTATGACACTTTGCTGCAGGTCCTTCCCCCATTCTTCTCCCCCACTTTCCTGCCCTCCTCTTCACTATACTATCAAATAAAGGCACGAAAGGCCAAAAAAAAAAAAAAAGGAAAAAAAATAAATTGTGCAGATACCCCATAAACCTCTTGACTTCATATAGATTTGTAAATGATCAAGCTGACAAAAACAATGTCACTCTTCCTTCTAGGTGACTTCCTTCTTCATCATCGGCCTCATGTCCATGATGATCCCCCTGTGTTACATCTTTGGCGGACTGATTGCTGTGTGCCTGCTCATGGGGCTGTTCGATGGCTGCTTCATCTGCATCATGGCCCCCATCGCCTTCGAGCTGGTCGGTCCCAACGACGTGTCCCAGGCCATTGGCTGCTTGCTGGGCCTGATGTCTGTGCCCATGGTTGTGGGGCCTCCAATTGCAGGTAAAGCAGGAATAACCCAAATATTGTGTTCATGCTCAATCTGACCGTAAATATATGATAAATGCTCGCATCATTCTGGTTGCTGACCATTTTAAAGTTGAATAAAACATGGCGGGTTAGTCGGTTTGAAGCTTTTTTTTGTGGCATCTTAAGCTGTTCACTGTTTCCCTGCTCCAGAGATGCTGTTATGTAACTGACCCTGACCTCTGACACATCTGTCAAAATTGTCAGGTTTGTTTTTTTTGCAGCAGGGCAGTAGAGATAGACAGGAAATGTGGGGGTAGAGGGCAGGGGAATGACAAAGAATGTGTGCCCATGTTCTTTGGGTCTAACAGCTATCAGTTCACCTGATTTTTAAATCATATCTCGTTTTTTGTAGTACAATCTGTCTTTCTGTTATTATTCCGACTTTCTTTAAAGCGGCTCTGCGGTTGCTGATTAAAACCCGTAAAAACGTATATCTACGTTATGAAGATATATATTTTTCCATTAAAAATAAAGTCTTCCTGTTATGCTCTCATTGGTACACAGCAGCTTCACAGTGGAAAGCTCAGCTCAGATGTTAAGAGCTAATTTAGCTCACAATGTGTATTCCAGAATATATAAACACAATATGCACATGTTAACAAAGTCAAAAAAAACTAATGTTCACTGGAGGGAGTGTTTAATCATTTACAGCATTGTTGCAGCAGTAAATATTTGATGTTACATCTGCAATATAAATACATCATCTCTGTTTATATATCATGTCTCTGGTATTTCTTTTATTATGTCTCTTTAAGCGGAAGATGCAGTTTTAAAATGAAACAAATCCAATAAGGTCTTGACCTCTGTCCTCTGATTCTGTAAATATATTGACTCTTGCTGTCTTTGTGCAGCATTCTTGTAAATGTCAGAGTTTCTTCCAGAGATTCAAAGGAGACTAATCCTTTTCACACACAGACGTTTCCTGATCATTTGCCCCATCTAGTGTTTATTATACCCCTGTGTCAGTCCTGAATTTGCACAGTGTAAATTACAAACACACCATAGTGTATATCATAGCTGTTTACAGTGAGAGTTGTTTACATACTACAGGGACAAGGAAAGTGGATGAACTTTTGACAATGGGGTGCAAGTGACCGAACAGGTTGTTCAGCCTCATAGGTTTATAGGTTTCCCATGATCAGTATCAGTAACATAGTAACATGGGCAGCTGCTCATGTGAGCGTCACATGCTTCTATTGCCTGAAAGTAAAGAATTCTTTTTTCTTAGAAAGACCTACAGTGTTTGACTATTCATTGAACTTGTTGGGATCTTCCCCTCCAGGAGGGTCAGAGGTCGCAGTCAGCGACAGAAAACAAAGTGTTGCTCAAGCAGCCTCTCTAAGGAAAAACGTACAGATTCGTAGCTTGAACTTTCCTCCAGCTGAACCAGTGATTTCATATGGAAATGTTCACGTGCATAGAGAAACCATATTACTGACAAAATTGACTAATGCAGGAAATTGACGATGTGCACTGCATTTCATAAACCTGATTAGTGTAAATCAACATTTGCGTGCAGCTGGTCAGTGATCAGCTGTGACTGGCTAATTTAAACTACAGACATTATAGATTTTGTCTGTCTATCAGCTCAAATCTGTACATCTTCCTGAAATGTATTTTTATTGGAAAGCCGTTTCTTAAATGTTACCTCTGTAACCTTTGAAAAATTTAGCATTTGTAGCTATTTACTGTTTGTTTTACTGTCAGCCAATCCGCTATATAAATAAAGTTGTTGTTATTATCATTATAGAGACAACTTTGCATGAGGTTCAGCTTTAGTCAGACTGAATTTAATCATTTTTAATTCAGGAAGGTGTCAATACTTGTAATAATGTTTGCTGTGATAGTGAATCTTTGCCTTTCTGGACACTCATGCTTGTGTTAAACTGGCAGTAAACCAGCTACGTAAGGATATGTAACAGCTTTGAATGAAACCTGTTGGATTGGAGACCCTCAGCTGTCTCAGAAGGGTGTCCCTGCAGATAGTTTTGTTTGTTATTGGTCCTCGGGCTTCAATAAGGTCAGGTTGTGATTGTCAAAGCCTCAGGCTGCACCACAACCGATAAAGTGTGACTTCATTGTCATACAGCACCTGCTTCTCCTGATGTTCACATGCTGCATCAAAGGGGTTTAAATAAACTTTAACTTCATCTGCGCTTATTTAGGACCGCAGTTTAGAGCTGCCATGAATGACTTTTTGTCAACTATTTCACCAGTTTGTTGATTAATCTAAGCTGTTAATTACTGTTAAGAGCAAAATGACCATTTCATTTAAGTTCACTGTATTTTGACTAACTGTATGTCACTGTAAAATACAGTGTAGTACAAAACGCAAACAAAGCTTTATATATTAAGGAGAGTAGAGTTAAACTGCAAACAACTCCACATTGTTGTTCATTGTTATTCATGATAATAATAAATAAAAAACAAGGTTTGTTATGTAAGTCAGTAGTGCAACCCAAAAAAAAGTTTGTATTACACCCCATAACAAATTGAAAAAGTTAGGCCTGTGTCATCAAGTACAACATGAACATGGTAGATATATTAGAAGCACACAGCAGCTGAAGCAACTGCTTTTCTCTTTATTGTGTAATTTCTCTTTGACTTTCATAGAAGCTTCAAATTCTGTAAAATAAAGCGGAATTCACTGTCACCTTTAACTCATGGGTGTGATGAGTTTCGCAACGTTGCGGTTCTAAAATCAGCAGTTTAGTCGTACAGAGCAACAGCTTGGAAGTGACTTCTGGTCCACGTGTAGTGCTAAGTCTTGTGTCGTAATTGTTCCATTGTGTGATCATGGAAACGGATAAATACATAATTTACAACAGTTTTATTGGGAACTCGGCTGAATTAAATTACAGTTTATGTGAGCGCAGAGAGCAGGAGAGAAGATAACAGGTTAGAGCACTCCTTTGCTGTTGAAGCCTTGGTTTTTCGGAAACTTTTATACTAAACTGAATCGAAGTCAGCTGTTTAAAACTGTAGAGCTAAATGACAAGAAACTACTTGGTACATTAGTGGCAGCAAGTAAAAGAGTCATCATGAGTTTGTGATTAAAAGTAGAATCACCCACCATTGAGGAATAGATTGTCATTGTACACAAGGTTTACATAATGGAAAGATTGTCATTTCCCCTGAGAATGTATAAAGGCAAGTTTAATCAGATCTGGACTAAATGGACTGAGTATGTAAAATGAATATGGTCTGATATGACCTGAACCTACCTGTAATTAGATACAACCGCCTCTCTTTATCTGTTTTTCTTTCCTGCATGATACAAAGACAATTACAAAAACTTAGCTCCCCAGTTACACTGTTCTTATGTAATACCAAAAGAGTGAATTAAAAAATGAACATTTTTATAATGTCGAAAATATTTTGACTTCATGCATGGAGGATCGTTAATGTTGTAAATACGATATGTAATGGAAACTGTGATAACTTACTTTTTCAAATGAAAGAAAAAGAAATTAACAAAGAAATAAATAAAAACTGTAGCTCTGATTATTGCTGACCACTGGCTGCAGCAAAAACGACTGATGTCATGACAGCAACTAAGAGTGATGTAAAAATCCTTTAAAATTCAAAAAGAAAATGTACGTTTAAGAGAATTGACATCAGCCTCATTGATTATGCCGACAAATGGTGGAACCCCTATATCAGTCGGAGTCATAACGACTTTGTCTCTGGTTGCAGGTTACCTGAGGGACACACTGGGCAGCTACGACGTGGCCTTCTACCTGGCAGGTGTCCCTCCGATCATCGGCGGTGCTCTGCTGTGTCTGATTCCTTGGGTGGAGGCCAAACGCAAGAGGGCGGAGAACAAGGAGACCCTGAGGACGGAGCAGGACGTCACCCAGAAGATGATAGAGAGCGAGAAGGCTGTGGTAGAATCACACAACAAAACCGGAGAGTCCGTCCTCTAAGTCTCCTCCTGAGCAAACTGAAAAAGAGACACATGGAGTCAGACTGAGGCTGCTGCTGACCGGCAGTATTAAGATACTGTGTGTGTGTGTGTGTGTGTGTGTGTGTGTGTGTGAGTGAGTGTGGTGTGTGTTAAGATTGTAACGGCTGCATTCAGTAGGAGAAAATGCCAAAGTGTTGAAACATATCAGAGTCATAGGCTGAAGTACAGTTGAACATGAATGTGATCCTGAAGAACTACGCATCAGACTGAACTGCTCCTACAGCCGGCAAACTTGAGATTTAAAATGAAAATGAGGAAAACTGCACATTTCATTTTTGTCACAAGGGGAAGCATGCTGTTCTTACTATGAACGCAGCGTGAAAGCTGCAGATTCAGTCTTTAGCCAGCGTCTCAACTATCAGCCTGCATTCTTGGTAGCTGTGTGGGCTTGTTATTCTTTACAGTCAGTTTTCAACACTACCGTATAGTTTTAGATGTGCAAATGTGACATAAATAGAACATATATTGGCTTATACAAGAAAGGAGACCAGTAATGTGTAGGAGCAAACTGGTCTTCTAAAGATTTCTCTTTTTAAACCCTCCGTCTTTATTTCTTCCGGTGTGCATTCACACTGGACTCCGTTCTCAGTCTTGAGGCATGCTATAGTTGTAAATACGGAGGTAATCTATTCATAGTGTTTTAAAGGGACATACAGCAACGATCACTTCAGAGAAGTGTCTTGAGAAGTTTGAGGTTTTTGGAAGTTTGACACTCTGGGATCTATCTGTAAAAGGTGCGCGAACAATTTAAGGGACGCAGCTCTCGGATGCACAATGAATTACAAACTGTCAGAAATGCAACATCTCAAGACGAGCAGCTCCGTCATCGAGGCTGGACCCAGGACATCTTTAACAGGATGGACTCCAGGCTTACCGCGCTGCTGTATGCACCATGAAAGCACATTATAAACTGGAGTAACAGAGACCTGAAGGGGACACCTGTGTTATTATCCACTCTGACATCTTATCGTGTCCCTGAGTTAGACTTTGCTTGCTTCAGTTTCTGCTACATGGTGTATAATTTTAACATTACAACTATTGAAGTCCTGTTAACTTGTTCCAACAGTGGGGAGCGGGAGCCATTTTTCCCTGCGGCCCCGTCATGAGTTAATCTGGTACTGTGACTTGATTCATGCAAAGAGGCTGCTTTTAATGAAACTGTGCATCTGGAAAACCTCCTGGTTCACATTAATATCCTTTTAAAGAAATCATTACACTCTTGGGAAAATACACCAGGTTGTTGATGTGCCAACAGACAGATGAGATGAATGTTACCACTCTCATATCTGTCCTGTAAACATACGGCAGCTGGTCAGCTTGGCTTAGGCTTCGTCCACACTAATATGGATATTTAGCAAAACTAGCATTCTCCTAGATGAAAACAGCTTTTTAGACACTCAATCTGATTGGTCAGATGCCTTCCACAGGACAGATTTTCAACAAGTCATGCCTTCACCAAAAAAAACCTAAAGCCTCTGAGTCTGCAACTGCAGCTTAAAGTCTGCAAAAATATTCGACGTGAGACGAACCCTGCGTACTTATTTCAGCGATTGTAGACATTCTTGCGAGTCGTGTGTACGAACATATTTTGTAGAACGATGATCTTCTGGACGGAGATTTTTTTCTAACCCTCTAAACCCCAGGTGGTTTCTGGGTGTTTCTTTGCTCTTGCCATGTTTTTCCTCACTGTGGGCTCATTTTTCACCACAATGTACAGTCCTGCACCTCGATGGAAACAGCACAGCCATCACAAGAATCAAAGAGAACTCAAAAGTTCTTCTCAAAGGAAGTGTCTAATAATTTCTTTGGCCAACATGGCTTTAGGATTTGGTTTACATAGCTGCCTGTTGTTTTGTCTTGTGACATTGCTTCAATTGTGTTTTTGCATTTTCATATGGATGGAGATTTTTTTAAGAACAAAAGAGTGGAAGCCGCTTATTAAAAAATGCTCATGCACATGTAGATTAGGCTCAAACTGGAGGGAAAAGAAAATATCTGTATTAGCGTGGACAAGGCCTGAAATCCAATACTGGAAACAGGAGGACGCTGCCTGTCTGAAGTTAACTAAAGAGGACTTCCAGCACCTCTAAACTCAGTATTATCACACTGATCACTGAAGGACTCAGTGTCATGCAGCCAGCACCAGTACTCCAACTTTCACTGATTCAGAAGGAACACAGTAGCTGTGTACATGCCTGATTCTGATAGTGACATGAGCAGTGTTTCTTGTAAAACAGTGGTGAGAGTTGTTTTTAAATGTGTTCCTTTTTTGCTAAGATTTTGAGCACATCTCATTTACAACTTTGCATTTAGTGGAAGGATCATTTAAACCTTTTAGTATATTCAGCAAGTGACGAGGTCCAGGTCATAAAGCAGCTGTCGCCGTGGCAACAACAGACCACCTGCTGGGATGGATGGCCTCTTAAATGGACCAAAGACACACAGTATACCGGTGCATATGTAATCCCTCACCACTGTATAGAAATGCTAACACAAGTGTACCTACAGTCGCTCATCATTTCAGAGACTGAGTCTCCTCCATTGGAAATGGAACTGTGGACACGACTTGACTAATAATTCACCATCAGTCCGGATAAGTCCAGTCGATCATTAACTCAGCGCCCAGTTCATTAACCTTCAGTGGGAAGGTGTTTTATGTTTTCATATTGTATTTATTTCGTAGTTCTTGAGAAGAATGTCATTCTGTAATTTGCCTAAAGCCTTAATTTCATTTCCTGAAGACCAAAATGTACAGAAGTGAAAGTTGTGTTAATCCTATTTGCTGAACTCGTCACCACTGACAGCGACAGGTTTTGGGAAAACTCTGACCTTTTGGGAAACAGCTGCAGCGTCACAGAGCTGCCGGGTGTCACTGGTTTTCCCTCCGCAGACCCGCGACACTCTACCTCAGATGATAGTCCAAGTCTGCCCCCTGTCGGGCATCCTGCCTCCTCCGTCCCTTCACCAGAGGCAGCGTGACCGGAGGTAGAAATAAACTGCATAGCTTCAGCTTAGTCTCCAGAGTTTTGCTCTTTAACAAAGCGCTTGAACCAGAAATGCCTTTTTTTTTAAATGCCAGAAGTGAGTGAAATTTTACAGCGTTTACATCTGTTCTGATGAGTTTATTTTTCCTGCCATTCACCAGCAAGAGCCTCAATTGATACATCTGAATATTGATTGTAAACCTCTTTGCCATACACATGTCGTTAAAATGTATTTTTTATGCTTATTCTTTACTTTCACTTTCTGATTTAATTCAGCTTTTGCTTCACACCTGCTCCTTTATGTGATCTGTGCCTTCCAAAGAGACATTTTGCCAAAAAAAAAGTTTGATTTATTTTTATTTACTCATTCATTTACATCTTTTTCTTTGGCACAAACTTCATTGAGTTTACACACTAAGTGTTTTCTGTCTTATATCTGCATCGATGTTTATAGCTTTTCATTGTTTATTTGCTGTTATCCGATCCAACCACTGACTTGTTTCAGATCATCTGTGTATTGATGCATTTGGTGCATCTTTGCTACTTTCATTGTGTCTTAATTTCTGTTCCCTAAAGGCTCAGTTTTGATGTTTATTGTTTGCTTCAAGTTGTGTGTGACTGATAATTCATGTATCTGTTGAGTAACCCAAAAAGGGTTCTACGTAAATATTAGTTTTGCTATCTTTCTGCTGCAGGATGTGTGGCGAACTACAATATATGCAATGTATGTAAACACAATCGGACTTCAACTTTTTCAAGACAAAAAAAAAAAAAAAAAGACAATATTGAAAAGCTTCAGTGACTTTGTCCTGATTTATCCGTCCGTCAGTGTGTCACATTTAAACTCAAGCTTCTTTTCGTTTAAACACCTAAAACTAAATGCAGTGAAGCAGGACGTTACGACCTGACACAGATCGTTTAAGTTGCACAGTCGCTCACGGATGAATGAGCCACTTCTTTTGACCCATATTTGTAGGAACAGAGAACCAAATTTAGTCCGTCTCAGGAATTCTTCCCAGGCTGTGTGCTCTCCACATTTGACATGCTTTTATCAGGTTACAGTAGATTATCCACCTCGAGGAAGAAAGCAGGATTTGTTAGCAGTCTGAGAGGAATTGCAGCCCGAGGGGCTCAACTGTAGGAACAAATATTCTCAATGTATGTGGCGACCCAGGAGGTAATGAATCCCCTGAATGTGGATGTCTAAGAGCCCTTGAACAGGGCCTCTATAGGGTCACCAAGAAAGTGAAATGTTCAGCGTTACATTGAGTTGGCAGACACTTTGCTACAAAGTGACATTCAGTAAATGTATTCAAGCTCCAGTGTTTCTCTGTTAACAACACAATGACAGTGTATATATTTGTTTACAGTGACTTTTACATTAAATTCATATTGCTTTGTTGGGATTAGCAGCAAAATCAAGTCTCAAAGCCCAAACCAAGACTTCTGGGACGTCAAAGTTCACCAAAACCTTCTTTTTTGGACAAAAATATGAATACTTGCACACTGAGAAACAATGTAGTAGTTAAGTAAGTACAGATACTCAAGTACTGCACATCAATAGCAGTCTAACTACACCGCATTTCACTGGGAGATGTAGTTTTACTGCATTACTTTGATCTGACACTATTGTTCCTACTGATTTACAGGCTTGTAAATTGTCATCAAGACATAATATATTAATTAGGATTTTTTTGTTTACCAAAAAGAAACTCCATCAAAAAGTATATTTAAATAGTAAATTCTGAATGTTTCAGGAGACATAGTTGAAGGTAAGACAGTGCTGGCAGAACCATTGTAGTTTTCATGAACTGGTCAAATTTGATATTTTGGGATATTCTGCTTCAATAACTTTTCTTTCAGACTAAAGCAAAGAAAACATCCAAAATACGCATTTAGGTGAAGGAAAAAGGTGACAGGAGTGTCCCTCAAACCACTGGTCCTCATGGAAGGCAATAGTGATGAAGCCAAAACCAGAAGAATTTACTTTTCAAACCGACTTTGAGTACCTGAATTTCTATGTAATTTTTTTTGGGCTATAATTCCTTCACCCTCCTTTACACACATTTAGATGTTTATTCTACTACACGTGGTTTGTTCTTGTCTGTAGATGTCAGTTAGAATACATATATTTAAAACACATTTTTGTTCATTTTTTATTCAACAATCTCCAGTCGCATGTAAATGCACCGAGCTTCATAGTTTTATTCTGATAGAGATTCTCAAGTTTAATGATGACTTATAGAACATTGTATTCCTGAAAACATGGTGAAAATAGTTTTTCTGGCTGTTTGCATTAATGGAGTAATTAAAAGAGATGTCGAAAATCCACTTTGAAAACTTTTGACTTTAAAGGGGAACAAAATGAAAGAGTTTTAAAGTTGGCTTCATCCAGCGTTCAGATGTCTGTCCTGTGAAATAATGGAAATAAGATCATTTTTAGATATATGATGTTGTATTTGCATATATATATAGACTCCAAGAAAACATGTAATACAAAAATACTGTCTTATTGTGAGAAAGCAGCTGGAGAAGTTTAATAGTGACTTCTGTCTGACATATGGCCACCTGCAGTGTCTCCTGCCAAACACTAGAGGCCGCCATTTCTGTTTCTGCTGCTTCCTGAAATCCTGAATCACTTTTAACGTGTCAGCTGAATCAGAGAGGCTGAAAATATGAGAGGTCTCACTCTGCTCTGTCTGTTGAAGCACAAATCCTTCTGCTACAAATATTGCTCTCAAAGAGTCTAAACAGCTTCTTCATTGCAGACATATTCCTTAGCAGGAAAAAACACAGTTGTTAACATTACAAGCTGCACCGCATTTCAATGAGGATGTGTGGCTCACTGTCACAGCTGAAATTGGAAACACAATTAAAAATCTGGTAGATTTCCTAAATTAGATCAAATGAAATTTCTCCTAAATATGCTAATAATTTACTGCAACTACAATGTGATGCGATAAGATAAGCCTTTAAAAATCCCACAGCAAAGGGGAAACATTTAACAAATATGAGTAGAAAAACAAAAATAAACAAAACATATACATAAACACTAGTTCCGATAACAATATTGTACATATCAATTGTTTTGCAGACATTCTTTCATGAGTAGAAATACTGATAGACAAATAGTAATATTGCAATCTATGTTGCACACTGATATTACACAGAAGCCAAGAAGAGCGCGCATAGCCTGCTAGCAAAGTATTACATCAGTAAAAGCCATTTTACTTTTTCTCACAATAAGATATATTTTTATTTAAACATTAAATTCATTCATATTTTGAGTGGATGAATAGGAAGGCATACGTGGTCAAAATGCTTAGATAGAGCCATGTTTTATTAAAAAACAACAACAACAAAAAACAAAAACAAGAGAATAGAATAGAAAACAACAGAATAGAAAAAATAAATTAGAACAGAATAGAAAAACAAGAATGAAATAGAAAACAATAGAATAGAACAGAAAAAATAGAATAGCAGAATAGAATGAAATAAAATAGAACAGAAACGAATACAATAGAAAACAATAGAATGGAATAAAATGGAATAGAATAGAAAAAATAGAATAGAACAGAATAGAAAACAATAGAATAGAAAAATATTTCATTTAAAAATAGATTATAATTGATATGAACTGATGGTGACAGACTTCTGAACTCCAGGCTCTACTACCCTTCCATTAAAAAAGGGCAAAATTCACAATAGTCACTCAGATAACTAGAAACTGAAAAAAGTAATAATAAATACAAATTTTCTAAATTATAATTTATTGAAATAACACATTGCTTATGCATTGTGGTTGAAAAGAATAATTAAAAAAAAAAAAACAAAACAACAACAACAACAACAAAACTGTCCCAGACAAATTAGAGCACTTTGCTGATGAGCAGTGGACCAAAATCTAAACACCTGTCACCAGGTGCACAAGTCTGACTGAGAGTTAGAGAGAACACGTGATTGCACTGATTGGCTCAAAGGGTTGTTCAACAAAATATTAGTTTACAGGTCCCATTTTGCTTATATATATATTTCTGTTAAACCACAATTCAAAAGCAATGTCATGATTTTCATAAAATTTTAATTTATTATTACTTTTGTCAATTCCAACTTTTGTCAGTGACAGGGTGTGAATACATTTGAGGACGGCTGTTAATCGCCCAGCTCGGTATTTGTTTTACCACGCGGAGTGAGCCTCCTTCACAACAGACGATCTGCGCGCCTCCAGCAGCTATACGTTACTGTTGACATATGGAAGCTCGGCGGCGGCTGCAGCGGCGCTACTCCGCTGTCATCCTCTCAACCATCCAGCCGCTTTAAACATGAGCGACTCCGTTTGAACCGTCAAACCGGGAGGAACCTTCACAGCGGAGGTCTCCGCAGGAGGAGGAGGAGGTGGGTCAAATAGCTGACCATTGCGGTTTTCCTCGGTTTGTTGACGGAGCGCTGACGGAGCACCATCATCATCATCATCATCATCATCGGCGGCGGCGGCGGCGGAAGCTTCAGCAGTGACTGACTGACAGGTATGTCCACATCCGCGACCCGAGACGCGGTGGTGAAGAAGAAGCACGTCCGCTTCGCCAGCATGGAGGACGACGACGACAACGACGAGCAGGAAGAGGACACCCTGTTTGACAAGAGGAAGGACACGGGCAGGGGGCTGAAAAGCGCTCTGAAGGCGGGCAAGAGGAGCGCGAAGCCGGGATGCGACGAGCGGGTGGAGGTGGTCGGCGGGGGAAGGGGCGGCGGTGGAGCGTGCGGCCGCTGGATAGTCACCCTGGCGCTGTGTGGCTCCTTCCTGGGCTTGGTAGGTGTCCGCAGGGGGGGACGTTAGCTTAAAGCCCTGAGTCGTTATACAGCGAAATGTCGCCGTGTAGCTTTCTCAGGCCTCGTCTTTGTGAAACTGTATTTATCAGTTATCAGTTAACCGACCAGCTAGCTACCGTCAGTCAGGTTAGCTAGCATCTGCTGGTGGTTAGCTAGCTAGCTACGGTTATCTTCATGTTATCAGTTAGCAAAACAAAAAACAGTGTTTAGAAGGAATTAAAGCAGGTGTATATTATGTTCTGTTGACCCTTTAAATAAACCTTCTCGTAGAAATTAACTCATGTTAGCAAACAGCAAGTCATGTATCAGGTGTTTGTCATATAGCACATTCAATACAGCAGCCGTTTACTGCTTCCAGTAAAGAGATAAAAGTTTAAATATAAAATTTGAGACCTCAGTGCAATATATATATATAGAATACAAATGATCCTGACTAGCTTCAATGTGAGTATCAAGAACTTCCAATATTATATACAAATCTACATGATTAATTTAAATATTAAGGTCAGTACCATTAGTGTTACATATACTACAAATCAGCCTGACTGACTTCAATTTAAGGATTTATTATGAAATAAAATTAAGAACAAATAGTATTATATACCAAGTCTGCATCATATAAATATGCTCATTGCTCATAAATCTATCCTTTATTTTGTTGTTTGGTCAAAAAAAAATGTCAGAAAATGGTGAAAAATGTCATTTGGTGCTTCCCAAAGCAGTGAAGAACCCCTAAAATATTCACATTCAGGGAGCTGGAATCAGATCATTTGGACTTTTTCTCTATAAAAATCAATGATCAAAATAGGCTGTTATTAATTAATTGTTGTAGTTCAGTATAAACACAACAACCTACCTGATTAATTTATATATTCAGGTGAGTGCTTTATAATATAATGCAAATTAACTTACAAATTAACTAGCTTAAATATTAGTGTGACAAACCTACACCTAACCTAACCTAAGGGTCAATATATATGACAAACCTAACAAATACAAAGCTTCCCTATGAGCCACTGTACTGGGAGAAGAAGAATGCCCATTTAGCAGGAACCAGGCTCTGGAAGTAAGAAATCAGTGGAAAGACTGGTGGAACCAGGAACCAATGGAGCTCCAGAACCATAAATACCTGCAGAGAGGAAACAAAACTCCAGCATAAAAAACATGATAAGATAATTACCTGAACAGAATAGCCAAGGGTGATCATATTGGGTCATAAAAAAGAGCCAGAACTATAAAAGGACAGTTATTAAAGAGAAAACTGATTAGGCAATGGAACAGTAAGAAACAGCAGGTGACAACAAAGAAACTAAGAGTGGACACGATGAGGGCAGCTTCAGCAACATCCATCCATTATCTATACACCGCTTGATCCTCACTAGGGTTGTGGGGGGGCTGGAGTCTATCCCAGCCGACTTAGGGTGAAGGCAGGAGACACCCTGGACAGGTCACCAGTCTATCACAGGGCTGCACTTAGAGACAGACAACCAAGCACACTCACATTCACACCTACGGACAATTTAGAATCACCAATTAACCTCAACATGTTTTTGGACTGTGTGGGAGGAAGCCGGAGAACCCGGAGAGAACCCACGCTGCACGGGGAGAACATGCAAACTCCACATAGAAAGATTCCAGGTGTTGCTGGGATGTGAACCAGCCAGCCAGCTTCAGGAACAGCTCAAAGAAAAAAAAAAAAAAATATATATATATATATATATATGAGACTTTGATTTGGATTTGAGTTTGTTTATTGTGCGACAGGATTTAATAAGACACATGGACTTGTTCCAGAGCCAACTTGTATTGTTCCACCATTAAGAGTTTTATGTAAAGTACCTCTTTTAATTGGACTCTTCATGCAAGTTTTTTCTAATTGATCTTTGTTGAGCAGCATTAAGCATCAAGATCAGCAAAGGATATTTATTTGTGAAAAAAAACATGATGCAGTTTTATCTTTTCTGCTATAAATTGATGCAGAAAAGTCACAAACTGGCACATAAAAAAATCTACAATTAAACAACTGTATTACATTGTCCCCTTAATGTTCAGCAGAATGTACAGCCATGCAGCCAAACACACACACATTCAAAAGCTGCTGAGTGATATGTTTTTAATAATTTGTGCATACTTCTTTGTCAGCATTGTCAGTGAACAAAAGGCCTGTTGTGATGTGCAGGCAGACATCCTGTTTGATGAAGCCAATGCTGCATGATTTTCATAGTTGCAAAACTTGCTCTCCAACCAAGCTGTCCACATCAGATTACTGCAATCCATCTGCACACATCTGAGTGTTGGCTTGCCGCTGCTACGTTAACGTATCTTCTTCCAGTTACACCTGGAAAACTAAAGTACACACAGGCTGTGTTTTTTCAGTTTCAGTATCGCTGTTATAAAACGTGGGAACAAAGAAGCTCTGGGAACAATTTTGACTAAAAGTTGTCTAAGGAAAAAAAAAAAATCCACCCATAACACACATTTAAGATGTATTTTGTTGACTGCTGTATGTTGTGTTTTGCTACTTATATAAGCTACTTCCATTTTGATCAGTGGTAAATCCTGACAGTAAAGGTCAGATAGTGTTGGTGCTTTGAAGGCTTTTTGTAGATTTTTACATTCATTCATTCATTCATTCATTCATTCATTCATTCATTCATTCATTCATTCATTCATTCATTCATGCATTCATTCATTCATTCATTATCTATACACCGCTTAAGCCTCACTAGGGTTGCAGGGGGGCTGGAGTCTATCCCAGCTGACTTAGGTTGAAGGCAGGGGACACCCTGGACAGGTCACCAGTCTATCACAGGGTGTAGATTTTTACATTTCAGGACAAAGCTGTCTCAGATTGGACAGAGATGCTCATTTCTCTGCTGATAGTGACCTCACCTACTAAACAGTGGCTGAACATTAACAATTTAGAACAAGAAGGAAGATGGAGGGCAAGGGATAGAATCAAAAGTTAGAATTTCATGGCTAATAACACCTTAAATACACCCGACCTCACAGATCAGTGATCTCTGAGGATCAACTGCTTTTTTAGAGTTAGTGAGAGTCCGTCACATAACATTCACTTGCAGAGATTTTATCTTCTACTTCCAACTTGCTGTAACCATCAACCTGTTTTTCCAGGGGATGAGTATCTCCGTTCTTGGCCCCACATTCCACGATCTAGCTGTGAACGTGAAGCAAGACATCAGCAACATCTCGTACATCTTCGTCGGCCGCTCCGGGGGCTACATCGGTGGATCCCTGTTAGGAGGCCTCCTCTTTGACTGCATGAACCCCTACGTCCTGCTAGGTAACCTCTCACCCACATGCCGCCGCTGCAGAGTCACGTCAACACTCACAGCTGCGTGCGCGGCAGGTGTCCGCGGTCTGCACATCCACGAGGCGCGACGGGTTTTCATCACAGTTATTCTAACCGTTTGCACTCGCTCTACAAAAATATTTTTCTTCCAATTATCTCTCCTTGTAGGTTCTTCGATGCTGATCACCGCGTTTGGAATGTGTGCGATCCCTTTCTGTAAGCAGGCTCTGCTGCTCACCGCGTTCATGTCCAGCATCGGGATGTCGATGGGTGTTCTGGATACAGGTAAGACAACCTGCACCGTGTTTCAGTGGGCAATGTGTTTCTGGTTACAGAGTAAGAAAATGACTGCAGCTACCAACTTTCTCAGTCTGTCCCATCAGCACATCATGTGTTGATGCACCTCCTGCCCTTTTTTAATTCTTTGGACGAGCAGCCTCACACACTGCTGATGACTAGTTGTCTTCATTTGCATGTATTGATTTAAAGATTGGCTTGAGACTTGATATTTGTATGATATTTTCCCTGAGATTATCTGACATCGCTCCTACAAACTCTGCTGAACTCTTCACTCGCTAAACACTTGTTTATCGTCAGACGCCACACTTTACATGAGTTCCCTTAACGCATCACATGCAGGTTACATTAGAGGCTCATTCGTCTGCTGTGAACCGACAAGCCTCTAGTCTTTACTCAGTTACTGCAGCACAGCAACTCAAACAGTTGTGTGACCAAAAATTACTTTAAAAGGAGTGAAACAAAGGGCTGTAATGTTAGAGGGATTTTATATACATTGCTTGTGTCCTATTTGTGGACGTTTTGTTCCTGCAGGATCATCAGGTGTGTGTGATGTAGACCTCTAGTTCTCCCCCAGCCTCCTCCCCATATTGTTTATTGAAATATTCAGCTATAGACTGCTTCATCTTTATAATATACTAACAACAGCTAAATGGATTGGAGAGACTGACTGAGCCAGTGTAAAAGAAAAGCTACTACTTGCAACCATAATATCTAACCAAGGAGCTGCCTGTGCTGGCTGGACGTGAACTTTAAGGGTTATTATGCACTCGCACAGATACGGACATGCAAAATTTTAACTTTTACATTCTCAAAAAATAGCAACATCACATTTCAAACCCAGTTCTGAGCGGTCATTTTACTGGTTTCCCCTCTGTCTCTGTGTCGCTGCATGTTTGCACGAAGGCATAGCTGAGTTGTTAAAAAGCAGACAGCAGAGCACAGGACAGAGGACAAAGTTATAGTTTAACATATCCGCAACAAAATCTGTCATTAGGCGAGGCAGTACAAGCAATTTAGCTGACACCTGTTGAACCAGTAGCGCACAATCATTGCTGCACTACACAGCACAGGTGTGTTTTACACGCTCACACGGGAGTACAGAGAGCATTGTGCTAGCAGCGAATTTTTGTCAACAACGTTAAAATGAACGTGAAATATCTTAAATCAGAGCTCCAGATGAACTTTTTTCTTCAGTAGCACCATCGTTTCTAAAGACTGCCATGTATCTGTGGCTGTAGCTGACTGATAGCCTCAATAGCCTACGATATAGAATATAACACGCTCCACTGCAAATGTTTTAATTAGCAAGGGCTTTGTGACAAACAGAAAATCGCACAATACAGTTCCAGTTCTTGAGTCGTGTTGAATAACTACCACCGTCCTCTTCCTCTTTCTCTATCTTCTCGTCCTGACTCTCTGTTCCTCCTTCAGCTGCAGCAGCAGAACCGGTTGAAGCCAGTAGATATTCTACGCAAATTATTTGGATACCAAATCACGCCGGTTAGTGGTCGGGTTGAGTTGCTGTGTTTTGATTAGTGCTGAGTGAGGCCAGACTCAGGATGGGTAAAGAGACAGACAGGGCTAGCAAGGCGACTCTTTAAAGAGCGAGATGTGTTTGCAGATATCTGTGATTCATTTCTTCAGAACGTTTCCGTTATCCACAGCTGTCATTTCAGATAGTCATCATTCTTCCAAGGAGGAATGGTGCCACTTTAGCTATTCATGTCTACGGGGTTTCTCCAGTTCAGCTGCACATATCTACAAATGTTTGTGGATATTTGCAGCTAAATTATGACCAGTATTTATTCCAGTTTTAGATATTTGCAGTATGACTGACGAGTTCATGATATCTGTATTTCCCCTCCATTCCAGATATCTATCTGGTCCTTTTGACATATCTTGAAGTTGTTCCTGTCAGAATGACATTGTAGATATCTTGAATTGGAGTTATGACATGTCAAAATGTAATTCTGGATGTATTAAAATAGAGCTCTGGTTAGAGAAAGTGATGTTTGATATCTTTAGTTATATCAGAAGCTGCAGGAAGAAGGAGGCGGATGCAGTTTGTGTTTTAAACTGTGTCACCGAGCTGTAACTGCATATGACTGGACGTTTTGCTGCCATGTGAGAGCAGCCTGAGGCCACAGTTCCAGTCGTTTTCAACCACTGTTCTCTAAGATACAAAGATAGAAAATCTCTGCAAATGTCCTATATTGTAAGCAGGACATCAAATACAAGGTATTTCCTTATTTGCCACATCTCTCTGTGTGAGCGATTCCATTCAGGAAGAGGGCGACTTTGCCTCTTTCTACTCGAGATTATCATCAGGAATTTAGGACTCGAGTGGCACAGGAGGGTCTGAATGAGCTTTTCTTTTGAACAGTGAGTCGATATTTCGTTTCATTGTCGCCACAGTGAAGAGCGAAAGCGAGAGTACTTACGGACCGCACACAAGTAGATGACATCTCGCCCAGCATTGTCCCCATCCTGCATTGTTATGATGATGAGATCTCTGCGTTACCTCTCTGCCCTCATTACCCGATCTCACTCGTCTACAATAGCATCACTCACTCAAACTAATTCTCACTCTTTCTGGGGTTTCACATGATACACGATGATGATTTGCATATTTGCAAGTCGCACTGGTGATGCTAGTAACACAGTTTTGCAGCACTGTTTCTAGAACTGGTCACAAAATGCGATGAAGCAGTTTTAATTAGCTGTGTGTCTGAATATCAGTTGAGTTCACCTCATTCTAAATGGCATGTTTAACATTAAAGACTTCTTCTCTATTTGGATTAGACTATCTACCAACTTTTTAAAGCTTTTTTTTCTCCCCTCGTTTTTGTAAGAAGTATTTGATATTTACAAGTATTATTTGTTTTGTTTTGTAGTATTGTGACATGCAGCTTCATATGGTTCAGAAAATATCACTGGTGGACTTTTGCAATATACATTTTTTTGTTAGTGTGTGCTCAAAGATGTGACTTTCCATGACGCCTTCAATTTTTTTCATATTTTAACTCACCTATAATTCTGGACTATTTGATCTACTTGTCAATAATTATTATGGGAAACAACATTGAAAAATTCAGGCTGTTATCTTTAAAAGTTCCTGAGATGTTGTTCATCATTTGTTTTGTTTATTATTAGTCTAAAAATACCTGTTGTTTTGGATACAAAAGTTTGAGATGGAATAACCCAGCTTGTATGTGTTTAGAAAGGAAGAGAGATCTGGCATTAGTTTTTATGTTGAAAGAATAAGGAAAGGATTTTTTACGCTAACAGTCATAAATTATTGTGTTCTTTAAAGCGTTGCATTAGAAAAACAAATTGGCGTCTAAATTTATGAGATATAACACAACAGACATTTTCTCTTTTCAGTTTTTGCATTACAAGAATGATGTTAATAGTTATGTCAGGATTTGCTGCCACAAATATGTAATTATCATTATTTCAGCTTGTGCTTCTAAAGCTGTGGAGGGTCAAAAGTCATTTAAAAAGCTCTGTTACAGTAAATGGAGCTGAGTTCCCTCAACAGACTCTTATGCAATGAGATCTAATCATTGAAAACGTCCCTGTTGGTCGGAGTGTGATGGCTTGTCTATTAACTATTGATTTCTTGACACGTCAGTCTTGTGTAATCATCGTTGTGTCCATGTTGTGTTAAAGTTGCCGGCGCTCTGCCAGCAGGCCTCCTGCGTTAGATCTTTAACCTTGATGGTTTGTCTAATCAGTGGACTTTGTGTTAATTAATGACCATCGACTGCACATGAAAAAGAAGCCGTTGTCGTAAGACGAAAAGTTTCAATCAGCTTTCTTTTCCTCCATTTGCTGATCAGCTTTGGTGGACAAATGCTGCTGCATGATGTGCAGGAAAACAAACAGTGGAAGTATAAAGGTCATGAATAGTGAAAGAGGGGACACATGGACATAACACAGCTTTAATCAGCTTCAGATGGAGCTGTTTCTAAACTCATCTCTGATAACACACCTGTCTGAGCTGCAGAATAAAGTGGAGACTAAAGGCTTCTCTGTGCTGCCTCATAGAATATACATGTGGCGTTCAGGGAACCTGGTACAAAATATCCAAATTTTATGCTATAAATATTTCAGGCAACCAGAGATGTCTGAGCAGAAACTGTTCAAAAAATCTGATGACCTGAGATGAAGTGACCCTGAAAAAAACCCCCCAAAAAAACAAACAAAAAAAAAAAACGGTACTTGCTGAGCTTTATATTTTTGTACCTTTTTGAAACCAGAAAAGAGTTTTTCTTCGTGTACATTTTGCACTGTTTCTGTCCAGATGCTCACGTTTCAGAGCGGACGGTAAACTTTTCACCCCTCAGTGAGTTCATCTTATCGGTAACAGTGTGTAATCAATGTGTTTTTCTCGTCTGTCAGGTGGAAACGTGCTCATCCTGAACACTTGGGGGGAGCAGGCGGGTCCCCACATGCAGGCTCTGCACTTCAGCTTCGCCGCCGGAGCCTTCATGTCTCCCATCATAGCCAAGCTGGTGTTTGGGACCGACGGCAACAGCAGCAGCGTCGGAATCACACCGACCGAGTCCACGCCTGCCATCACCACCATACAGGCCACCAAAGCCCCCGATACAATAATCCGCTACATCCACAGCAAGGGCAGCAGCCTCAAATCCATGTGGGCCTACATTGTGATCGGCGGCTTCATCTTCCTCATGTCCTTCCTCTTCTTCATCCTCTACTCTCGCAGCAGCACGTCACGTGACAAAGCCCGCGCAGCGTCAACAAAGCCGCTGACGGCCAAACACCACAATGCTCTTGTCGCCCTGCTCTTCTTTTTCTTCTTCGCCTATGTAGGTGCAGAGGTAGCGTACGGCTCCTTCATCTTTACCTACGCCAAGGACTATGTTAAGATGAAGGAGCCACAGGCGGCCGGGCTGAACTCGCTGTTCTGGGGGTCGTTCGCTGCCTTTCGAGGTTTGGCCATCTTCTTTGCAGCCTGCGTGTACCCAGGAACCATGATCCTGCTCAGCCTGGTTGGCTCCACCGTCTCCTCCCTGCTGCTCTGCCTCTTCAGTAAGGAGCAGGCGGCGCTGTGGCTGTGCTCCGCCCTCTACGGGGCATCCATGGCCACTACCTTCCCTAGTGGCATCTCCTGGGTGGAGCAGTACACCACGGTGACGGGCCACACGGCGGCGATTTTCGTGGTGGGGGCGGCGCTTGGCGAGATGGTGCTGCCGGCGCTGGTTGGCCTCCTGCTGGGAAAGTTCCATGACCAGCCACTGCTGATGTACCTGTCGCTGGTCACCGCCACCTTCACCTCCATCCTCTTCCCCGTCATGTACAAGCTGGCGTCGGCGCCCAGCAGCCAGAGCAGGAAGCCCAGAGCCAGGGGCCGACCAGAATTGGACGACAGCGAGTACCGGCAGGCGCTGCTGGACTCTGGTGTCAACGAGGAGGAAGAGGAGGAGGAGGAGGAGGAGGAGGAAGAAGAGCAGGAGAACGAAGCTGATCAGTGGAACGACGCAGACTTTGAGGTCATTGAAATGGACGACACGTCGAGTCTTGTTAACTCGCCCAGCAAGCCGTCTTCTCCTCCTGACGTTGCCGCTGCCGCCTCCAGCAGCCAGGAGACGGAGACGGAGCCAGCAGCCGGGGCGCCGTTTTCAGACGCCATCTCTCTGGAGGGAGACTCCCCGAGCGATGCGCTGCTGCTGTCTCTGGACAGAGAGAAAAGAGACTAAAAGCTACATCTGTGACTCCAAAGTGCTGCCAATCTCACACCCTACACTGGAACATGTGTTATCCAGGAAGCTCCGATGTTTATGTACAGTTCTTGGATTTACTGTGCAGTGAATGCAACACTGGCTACTGACTGCGGCTTTACGATGTGTCAACTCAGAGTTTGAAGAAAAAGTTTCAGGCATCTTTTAAAGCTTTTGGACTTCTGCTGGATGGTGATCAGATTTTACTGTTTTAAATAATTTATCATATTGATTCTGTGTGATCCTCCTTCCCTCCACGGTGAGATCAACGGTCATGTGATGCGACAAAACAGCTGCTTCAGGGCTGAGAGGATTTCAGTGCCTTGCATGAGGACACGTGAGCAGAGTGGATGAGTTGAACCAGGGACGGTCACCCTCTTCATCACCTGCAAGACTGATCTTTAAATGTCATTTTATTTTGCACTACTGCAGTTATTTAACAGCAGCGATGAGAAGATAGACGGCAGTAAATTTTTTTTTTTGTCGCACTTTCGTAAGGATCCAATTGTTGTTTTTTTGTTTAATTTGTCTGTTTGTCTGTCATGTAACGTGACTTGTGGTTCTCCAAATCACACGTGTCTTCACTGTGATTCATCTTATGATTTGATTTTGGGATAAACCGAATAACTGAAGAAAGAAGGCATTTTAATACATTGATTTTTTTATTATATCAATCTCAAACCTCCACCCACAGCAATGTCCATTAAAAACAAACAAAAAAACACCTCCTTCATTATTATTATCATTTTTTTACATTTATACAAATACACAGATCCTGTGTACGGCTGTAGGGGGAATTGAAGATCAGATCTTGATGTAGTTTGAAGACAGTAAATCGGAATCGTACACAAAACCATATATGCACAAGGAAATAATAGACTCTTCATGACATAAATTATCAAAATACAGTATTGCAACAGTCCCAGATTTCTTTTAAAAAAACTGAATAATTTTCCAGTTCCCATTTCTGTAGAGTGTGAAGTGTCAAATCTGCCAAACTGGACATCAATACAATCAAGGTTAAAGAAACATGAAAAATGGCACCCTTTACCGAATGCATAAAACAGATTTGATTGCATTCATGGCCGGAGCTTTAGGTTTTTTTTTTTAATGCTAATGCACAGTGAGATTATAGATGGAGCTGTACAGGAACTATTTACAAAAGACTGCAGTCAATATAAAAATGAGGAAAAGTCAATTAGTGGTTTCAATGTAGTTCGTCTAGGGATTTGTAAGGAGCTCCTTAAAACCGGTGACTTTAAACTGCTACAGCGCAAACGAGACACCACGAATCATCCTGGATGGGACTGTTGGGTGACAGGCAGCCTGTGTCATCAGAGATATCAGCTTCACTCGGCTCGTAGCAGCGAACGGAGATGCAGCAAACAAGCATGACGACGAAACACACAACGCCTCCCCACAGGAGGCTGAAAGCCGACAGTCTGCACACGCAGAGAGATACTTGTATAACAAATAACAGTTACAAGACAGAATGAGAAACCCAACAGGGTTCAATCAAAGCACCATTTAAACTATTACAACTGAATGGACAATCAAACACTGAGATGGGAGATAAGGGGGGGGTGGGGGGGAGGAAGGGGGACAGCAATTAGCACCAAATCAGCGAGGAGCTCCGGGGTTGAGATCAGAACTGCTCCAGCAGCTGTCGGAGGTAGGGGGCCTTGGAGAGCTGTCGGTTGACCCGGGACAGTTTGTAGAGGACGGGACAGTCCAGAGACACACAGGGAACCTGCCGCTCAGCAGAACCGCTGCAGTTCCTGCAGATCTGAACACAGACACACAAATGTCACTGCTGAGGCTGCGTTTATGTTCTCTACCAGTGGAGACAATACAGGGCAGAACTTTAACAGACGTCACAGTGGAACTTCCTCAGATGATTGCTACATTAACACTCTGAGTTTTCATATTATAAGACATTTTACATGAACCTGTGCAAATATGATATTAGCCAGTTAAATGTGCGTTTATCTGCATTCATTTCTGGGCCAAAAATCTGAGCACTAGATATAGCGGGAGTCTAAAGAGTCACATTTTTGGAATTCTCTTTTTCTCGCACCATAATTCAGAAATCACTGTCAACGGCCAGAAAAAGGGAAAAAAAGGAAAAAAATTTTGTATAAAAAGCTATAAAAAAATGTAAAGGGGCTTTGCAAAGTTGGAGGTAAAGATTTGACCATATGGCCATGAAACCTCCCCACTGATTACTTATCTTAACACAATACATTTTTATAACACGTCTTCTGGTATTTTTCGTAGGACTATAAGATAAGAAACTTTATTGGTCCCTCACAATGGAAATCTACAATTTACTATGCAAATGAGCTATTATCCATCCAAATACGTGACAATTTGCATTAATTTCCAGAACACAAATCTAAACATACCTTACGCCAGCCTTATGTTAAGTTTTGTCGACATGTTAAGAGTTAAAGCTTTTTACAGAGTGAATTCTGAAAATTAGAAAATTCTGCCAATAGAAAAAAAAGAAATTATTTTCAGGCAGAAGTAAAACTGGAAAATGTAATGAATGTAAGTAATGATGATATCTGGTTTAGAAAAGGAGAAGAACAAACTGGTTTTGCAAAATTCCATCTGTTTTAGTGGAAACCAGCATCACAGGTAAAAACTTTAACAAATACATCATTCACCATGACTTTTTATTCCTAAAATTTTATCTCATTAGGACTAAATTACAGAGTTTGCATAAATGTCGGATAGCAAACAAATAGTAAAATAAACACCTAAACGTGTATGTTACATGTGATGGAAGTGAAATCTTTTCATCTGTAGTGTCTCACCTTCAACTAGAAAAACGAGTTCTGTGTTCAACCCCGACTGGTTTTATCTGTTACCTTAGCTGCTCCTTCAGCTGGGAGCCAAATCACAGTTTTGATAGTGTGTTATCTATATGACTATTAAGATAAACCGCAGCGACTCGGCCAAAGGTCGATAAGAACAGAGATGTATCAAAAACGTAGAGTCAAGAGTTGAAGAAGTGTTTGAAGAGCGGGACAGACGGTGGCTTTATCTCCCTGTGAGGCCTCTGACACACAAACAGCCTGCTGGAAGTTCAAATCTCTTTCCCGACTGTGATCTTGTAGAAACGCTGGTGCGACATTGTTGTTATCAAGAATGAGCCAATCAAACCTCCACATCAGAGAAAGAGGAATGCTGTACTGTGACATGACCTTAAAATGTCACAGTTCTTAAACAAACTGCTGGTTATCCACCAGCAGGAGGTATTAGGATGATTTATGGTTGGTGTTCTAGACGAGGCGTCTCTCAGTGGGAACGTTGCTCTCATTATCGGGTATCATTTGTGTCAAACGTTTGTCTTTTAAAAACATCCCTATTAACTCTGTGAATAGTTTCAGGGCGTTTTTATTCACTGTGGGCTCATTTTTTACTGCAATATTAAGTCCTGCAGCTCTATGGAAGCAGCACAGCTGTGACTAGAAGAGGAGGGAACTCAGAAATAAAAACCTTAATAATTATTTTACAAAACTTGACAAAACCTTGAATCTCCAATTACAACATTTTCCAAGTGCCTACAGGTGTGGTACCCATGCTGGAAAAAATGTGGCTCTACATGCTAAAAATCGTTTTAAACTTCTATTTTTTTTATTTGTTTCCATATTTGTCTTATATCTGTTGTGTCTAAACACAGCCTACAGTTCAGCTGAAATGTCAAATGTTTTTGTCAAGTATCTGTTGATCACAGCTGAGACACTAAAGGCTTCAAGGCTGCACTGAGGAGGACAAATGTTGTAGTTTTTTTCACAGGATCTGCTGCAATTTAGATTTGGTTACATTTCCCCACAAAATAGCACGGCACACACGATTAGTTCAGGACTGTTTTTACAGTGTCTGGCTGATAAATGGTTTCATTTTGACATTGTCTGTAAAAGACAACAGGTCTTTAAAACTCGCTGGGCAGGTTTTGTGGTTCAGAGGCTTAATATCATTAAAGTGATTTCAACCGTGTCATCCTGCCTACATACAAAATGAAACAAAAAGCTGGAATTACAAATATCTCCACAACACACATACTTCCTCCTACTTAAATTCCTCATGAGTAGACACATAAAAGACAGAAGTGATCATTTATGTGGTCGGGGTTCAGTCAGGTGGACTGTTACCGCCACTGGCATTTGGAAACATCATCATTTGCGGCTGATTCTTGCTCTGATGCTTATTCTTCTGGTGTAGTTTAGATTTTAAAAATGTTCCTTTGCAACAAACCCACCGGACGCTGCCACCTTGTCTTGCCACTGTGCAGTGTTTGTGTTCTTTGTCTTCTGTTAGTATGCAGTTGAACATGACTCGTGTTGATTTTTCATTAAAATGTTACTGCCAGATCTGACGCAGTTTTTATGGATTTTCCTGATTTTTTTAAATTGGGCGACACACATGGATGTCTGTGGTGTATGATTCTGATGTCACAAATTACACATGTTCATCTTAAACTGAGGTTTAAAGTGAGCACAGTGCACCACAGTCATCTTCACAGTTAAGCATGTTGTATATTCCTAGATTTGAACTTTTTATGTACAAAGAAAATTCCTCCTCAGAGCTGAACATGTTCAAATCTCACCACCGTTCTGACTCCTCCTCGTCCCCCACCCAGCCTCTCACCTTCAGCAGCTGGTCTTGCTGACTCTCCCACTGCCTCATGTCCTGGTAGAGCGTGACGGCGACTCGCTGAGGTTCGGCGCGACACCTCGAGCAGACGCCCAGCTGGGTCAGATCGTCGCACACGGGGCAGTGAAGCGTGGTGAAGTACTGGGAGATGGTTCCCTTCCTCCCCACCTCCTCTCCACCCACCGCTGAGGAGCAAGACGCCTTCTGGATCTGCAGAGAGAAAAAATGTCCTTTAACCACCACAGCTGATGCACAGAGACACGTGAGGAACATGCAGGAGAGTCTGCTTTGATCAGAGTAATGAAGAGGATGAGGAGACACTTTTGGAGTTTCCCAGTCAGACTGAGCCTTTTCGGTTTGTTTAAAATCAACAGATTCGTTTAAAGATGCCTAGTTGGTCTTTAGCTGATCCAGCTTCACATAAATAAACTGAACAACACTGTGGCAGTTTTTCTTTGCATCTTCATATCTTACAAAAGCCAAAAAATAACACAAAAGAAGGCGTATCAGTGGTTTGTTCATGATTTAGAGGAACAGCTCTGCCAGCAGATGGCACCTGTGCTCTGTCAGACAGACGCTGACTTCAGTATTGACACAGAGCGAAGCAGCAGCGCTGCAGTTTGATGAGTCTCATTCGATCCTCAGCAGGAAGCAGCAGAGATCTCTCTTCATCCTTTGTTCTCTCTCCACTAAAACACTGAATAAAAAACCCAGACAGTCTGGTTTTATTTTTACAAAAATGGAAGAGAGAGGTGACTTTTACCTCTCAGAGTTCCAGCAGTGAGCTGCTCAGTCACTCGTCAAACATAAAGGGTAACTAAACAGTAATTAATCCTCCAAACTCAGCATGAAGCAGATTGTTTGTGTCTTTATTACGCTCCCTTTGCTTCCTTGATGCTTTAATTCACAAGTGTTTCATGTGGGTGATATAATTGAATTATTATCTGCATTTCAAAGATAGAAATCCTCCCAGTCTCACCCTGGGCAGCTCCTGGTACCAGCTGAACACGTCCACTCCGATCAGCTGGAACATGCGGCCCAGTGGCGGCAGGATCTGCTTGGTGATGTAGTAGGTGGCGTTGAGGCGCAGCCCGGCGTCCTGCAGCACCTCCATGGGCCGACGCACCAGCTGGATGAGCGGCACGCCGGGCGTCCCGTACACGATCACGTAGGGAACCCTCTCGCCCACACGGGGCTCCAGCCGGCGGTCGTATGCCATCATACGCCTGAGACAAACAACAACACAGAGACCCTGATCAGGACTGTTTGTTTGCTGCGACGCCCAACGTTTTACTGTAAGTCACTCAAATAATTAACATCTCATAACAAACTCAGAACCACCAGGAGCTTCTGCTTCTTTGTGTTGCTGCTCTGATAAACATGAGATACTAGTCCTCATGAATGACGGTGATTATTTCCTCTTATCCATGCCTTGAAATCAGATTTTTTTCACCCATTAAGAGCTGGGTTGCCTAGCAACAGACTCAGGTACTGTACAACAGGCTGGTGCAGGCAGACAATGAGCACTGTGGGGAAGGAGTAATTGGATTCACACTGAGTACTGTAACTGTAGCTGACAGCGAGCGCTTTCTCACCATCCTGCTCACTGCTGCTGCACACACACAGACACGCACAGACACACACACACGTACAGTCAACAACTAATTCATCCATGTGTTCTCCTGTGCCGTCGCTGTGGCATTTTTTTCTGCAAACACACCTGGTGAGCTCGAGCGCCGGGACGCAGGCTCCGGGTCGATATGAGCCGCTGCCTCGGTACTCTTTGGCGAACGTCAGGTCCTGCATGCTGGCCCGGCCGTCCAGAACCTTCACACACTGACGCTGCACAAACTGCTTGACCTGGCTTATGTCCCGCGTCTCAAACAGCAGCTTAATGGAACGCTCCAGAATCTGACGAGTGAAAAGAGACACACGACAGACAAGAAGAGAGAGTAAAGATAATGGAAGGGCAGAGGGGTCAAGTGGGTAAAATAAAGCAGGATTCATTTGCAATATAAAAAAACAGGAACTTGCTGTTTAATGCTGTGATATTTAACTATAATTAGGGGAACCGGCTGTGTGTGACTCAGCCTAAATGGCAGCGAGAACAGCGTCTACACTCAAACCCTCCATGTCCCTGAGCAGCCAGGGACCTTTTCCCTGATTGACACATGTGAAGCGGTCTGAGTAAACGGGAGCGGGAACAAGTCTGGCGTGGCTGTGATTGGTTGAGAGCTTGCTGAAAGTGAGGGGAGGAGGCAAGGATGGTTTGCCTGTTACCTTGGAAACAGCGGGGCAGCCGTCGCGGCGCACCGTCTCGATCCCTTTGGCGTCAAACACGGGCTCCTTTTGGTCAAGGCTCTCATACATGTAGCCCACGTAGCGCTTCTTTGTCTGCAGCACGCAGGGCAGGTACACCTGGGAAACACACAACACACACACACACACACACACACACACAAATCAATAATTACCTCTGAATGTGTCTACGAGTGCAGATGGAGAGACAAAATTGGCACTGAATGGACACAAATCCAAATTGCACAGACATTACAGAGAGGCTTGTGTGTGTGTGTGCATGAGTGTGTGTGTGTGAGACGAAGCTCTACCTTCTCAAACTTGAGCTTGACCGGTTTGGGGTTTGTTGCGGTCACCGCCTCAGCGATCTCATTGCCGATCTTGAAGGCCTGCTCTTTGGTGGCTCCCTTCAGCAACACAAACATGCTGCCAAACACACACAGACACACACAGCGGCTCATTACAAAGTCTGATCCAACAATCAATACTTAATGTCACTTCAGTTGTAAGTCGTGAGTGAACACCGCTGATCCGTCAGCGGTCGCGTCGGTCAGAAACTCTGCAAACTTCAAACATTTCTGACTGCTGCTCAGCAGGTCATTAAAGACTCTTGACCGTTTTTGAGGAACTTCCGCTTTCCACCAGAGGAAGTTACAGGAAGAATGTTTTGCCCTCAAACCTCCACATCTGCACGCCAGAGGACTTACAGCTGTGTTTTCCAATAGTCTATGTTATGCATGTGACAGAACACATGCTTCTATGTGTGAGCTACACAGCTAGAGCTTCACATGCATTAAAGGCCGATTCATGGTTTCTGCATTCCCATTTGCTGAACAATACACCCCGTTACAAATTATGATGTAAAGTATATTTTTCTTTGATTTTCCTAAATAGTCGATGTAAATGACAGTCAGCATAATTTTCAAGTCATCAAACATTAAAGTATATTTGAATGTTATTGAACAAACCTCCCAATGACAGCAGTATTTTTTTCCAAAATGAAAAACTTAAAATGCACTGTTCTAAATTATTACACACAACAGAGTTCCAAAACATTTCATAGATTGTAAATAACTGAAAATGGTCATTTGTTGAATTTGCAGCATTAGGAGGTCATATTTACTGAAATCAAAAGCTATTTCAGTCAAAGACATCTTAACAAGTCAAGTTACATTTTAACATAGAACCCCTTATTTGATAGCAGCTTCATAATCCATTGAACTTGTGAATTTTTGGAGAGTTTCTGCTTGAATTTCTTTGCAGCCTCCCAGAGCTGCTGTTTGGATGTAAAAAACCTCCCACCCTCATAGATCTTTTGCTTGAGGATGCTCCAAAGGTTCTCAATAGGGTCAGGTCAGGGGAGGATGGGGGCCACACCATGAGTTTCTCTCCTTTTATGCCCATAGCAGCCAATGATGCAAAGGTATTCCTTGCAGCATGAGATGGTGCATTGTCATGCATGAAGATGATTTTGTAATGAAAAGCACAGTTCTTGTTTTTGTACCGTGGAAGAAAGTGGACAGTCAGGGGGCCGACCAGCTCTCTGTCCATGATTGCGGCCTAAAACATGACTCTGCCACCTCCTTGCTGACTTCACAGCCTTGTTGGGACATGGTGGCCGTCCACCAACCATCCACTACTCCATCCATTCAGGGTTGCACGGCACTCATCAGTGAACAAGACTGTTTGAAAATTAGTCTTCATGTATTTCTGGGCCCATTGCAGCTGTTTCTGCTTCTGAGCATTGGAAGGTTTATGCATAACTGCAAGCCTTTGGAGGATCCTACACCTTGATGTTCGTGGGACTCCAGAGGCACCAGCAGCTTCAAATACCTGTTTGCTGCTTTGTAATGGCATTTTAGCAGCTGCTCTTTTAATCTGATGTATTTGTCTGGCAGAAACCTTCCTCGTTGTACCTTTATCTGCACAAACATGTATGTGCTCTGAATCAGCCACAAATCTCTCAATAGTCTGATGATCACACTTAAGTTTTCATGAAATATCTAAGGTTTCCATACCTTGTTCACGGCATTCAACTATTTCACACTTTTCAGCAGCAGAGAGATCCTTTTTCTTTCCCATACTGCTTGAAAATGGTGGTCTGCTTAATAATGTGGAATGTCCTTCTTTAGTAATTTTTCCTTTAATTGGGCTTACCTGTCAAACTAATTATCACAGGTGCCTGAAATTGTTTTCAGTGATCCAAAGAGCACTGAAACACAATACCGTCCATGGGTTTAATTGAAAAACAAATGTAATCTTCATGACACTTACATACTATTTGCCTAATAATTTGGAACGCGGTGTAATGACTTTGAATGCAGACAGCCGATGTCTACGTACTATAAAGTACACGTTGGTCTGTTGCGTACACAGTTGTATAGTCCCTCTGGTCAAAAACACAGAAAAACTCCTGTGGATGTTGTCACTTTTTGCACCTTTTACAGGTTAAAGCAGCTGGTTACAGATTACTTGATTATTCCTGAGCTGTGCCGAACACAGCAAAGGGTTTCTGGAGATTTTAGAACTTCCCACTGTGTGTGGGCACCATCAACGCAGATGTAAAGTCCTGCAGTGACCACTTCAATTGCAAATTTTTCAGAGAATAATTGTAAAGGTGTGGATGATAGGAAATTTCCTCGTTTTGTCATCTGCCTCAGTCTGTCTGCGGCCAAACATTTGTGTTTGCACACCAACTACATCAGAAGGTTTTGAGCACATGTGCTCGGCAGTAGTTCATGTGTGAAACATGTAGACGTTGATCAACACCACATGTAAGGAACAATGTCCTCCAAGCAGACTAGAAAGAAGTATAACAACACCAACTACACATTCGTCTGTCTGTGTGTGCGTTTGCAAAGTGTATAAACAAGTCTTTCAAGCTTCAAGTCTATTTCTTTTAGCGTTACAAACTTTGTGTCTGAACACATCCTGTGTAGAAAAGTGAAGCCTGAAAGTAAGACCTAATGTGTGTCAAATATGTGGAATGTCTTCCCACTGAGATGCATTCATCTCTCTTGAGTTTCCCTGCTGAAGTCATTTAGTTTGATTAGCAAAGAGCAAAGAGACAAAAAGTTTATTGCTGCCATTTAAAACTTCACAGCTCTCATGACTGAGACACTGCAGGAATAGAAACTCTCCGAATCATTACCTGCCAAATATAGTCGCTGCAGCACTTCTGATACTGAGAATAATTAACGCCTCCGAGCTGGCTGTCAAAACTTTAAGAAGTGTAAACTGATTGTTGCAAACGTTCATGAGAACACAGCTCAGGTGCAATCACACACTCGCACATCGTCAGAAAGACGTGACACATCGACGAAGCTGCCGGCTGTGTTAACGCACAGTCAGACACAGCGAATTGAAATTAGAAATGTGTGTCAGTTGTGGCTTTAGGCTGACAGGAGTTCTGAGCGTATATCACTTGTAAACCTGCCTGAGCTGCTGCTGCTGCTGCTTTGACAACAGAACACTGACAGATTTCCAGAATCAGATGCAGAAAAAAGTGCTAATATTGTTTACCTGTCGGTGTCTCCGTACACGACACGTGCTCCCCATTTCTTAGTGTCATTGACCAGCTTGATGGCTCTCTCCAGGGTCTCTCTGGCTTTGTGGACGATGCTGTCCCCGACCTGGAGATTCGAGAGAGATTGGTGCAGATTATTTAAAAAAAAATGAGTTTCACAAAGATGTAGTTTGCATTTCTTCCAGTGACGCTCATCTGAGATTTACAGCAACACTAAATATGTGATGTTTCATCCAGCCTGCTTCTCCCAAAGAACCACAGATGGCTTCAAATATGGTCTTTTCCACATTCTATCTTAACTTTTTCCACTGAGATTTAAAAGATGCCTTTCGTTTTGGCAGACTGGATGCTCGCAGAGCAGACAGCTGATAGTAACTGTTGATAAGCTTACCTCCACGCTGGGCATCCGTCCAGAGTAGTTGGCGGCGGTGTAGCCAAAGGTGACGTTGGCGATGAGCTTGAGTCCGAGCTGTCGGGCGTCCAGCAGCTTCATCAGGGCTTTGTCCTGCTTGTAGGTTTTCATCGACTGCTTCACCATGATCCTCGTGTTGAGGATTTCCTCCAGCATGCTGGGCAGGACGCCTTTACGCACCGACGACTGGACACAAACAACACGCAGGTCAAAACTGGTGCTCTTGTCAAAAACATCGGCTCTCTAAAGTGAACTGATACATTCTATTACAACAATCCTCCTTTAAAACCTCCACGAAGGTTAGAATGTTCAGGTTTTGTTGAAACTGTTTCAGAGATGAGTTGATTTAACTGAGTGGTCATTTGGAGGCTGTAGTTTGTGTTGCTGTTGACAACACAATACAGCTGCTTCTGTACACATCAGGAAACATCTTACAAACACAAACTTGCAGCAGAAAGCATGATGGGAGTTTAGCTTGTAAAAGAGCACCGTGACACCCCTATGAGGGGTACTGAATCAGGTCAGTGAACAAGTCCTACATTAAGCTGGGATAATCTAAGACAATGATCACAGATACCTTTTTTCTGTTAACATTTTTGCGTGATAACAAAGAATTGGTCAGAGGTTTTTAACAGTATCGATAACTTCAAAATTGCGGGGGGCAGTTTGGGGCGTTTAACCTCTCCATAAATCTGTTTTCACATTCCCCACTGTGATCATCAGTGTCAAATCCTGTTTTCATAGGGACCAATATCGCCATAGTGCTGTATAGCGGTGAAATTTTAGTGAAATGATGCACTAGGCAGGTCTGTAAACCCTCCATCCAAAGCTGTGTTCAATCACATGTTCAATGTTGCTTCAGGTCAGACGGTCTCTAAAATACTTGCAGACAAACTGTACAGTTTATCATCCCCCAATTTATTTTTCAATACAGGACGACTCGCTTTTATACGAGATGGGTGTCAGTGCTACAATGAAAGCAAAAAAAAATACCCAAAAAAACTAATTAATTTCTGGTTTTAGTTCGACTTCAATTCCAGATGCCAATTTGAAGACGAAAACAGGAAAAGTACTTAATTCTTTTAATTCATGTGATTTTTTCATCCACTTATCAAACAACTCGAACACAGCTTTGGACAGAAGATGTCCAGAATATTTGTTGGCTCAATCATAAAAACAGAGTGTTGAATTTGAATCTGAAAAAGAAAATCTGACTGTTTTTGACTGAGAAAGGGCAAAAATATAAATTAATGTCAAAGGAGAAAAATGTGGCTTTCCATAAAAGCTTCTCTCAGTTTAAACATCACATATAAATATTAAATACAATAAAGTTGGACAGTGATGAATACAATGATTGTCACAACTGTAAAGCTACTTAAGGAATCCACTATGTTAAGGTGTTCATATATTATACCTACTGTAATAAGTTGGTAAAATAACTCAGGTTTTACTGTGTGTTATTGCATCACTGACATTTTGACACACTGTCGGTTGAGTTTTAGTCTTTTAATAACCTCATTAAACATGACTGTGCTGTAGCCGTGTGTGTGTTTGTTATGTAATGAGTCTACGGGACAGCAGCCAGGCAGAGTGAAGCAATCAGTGAATGAACGGAGGGATGGAGATCATGAAGTGCATTAGAAGTGCTCGGCCTTCGCAGCAGCTAATGAACCTTAATGAAGCTGCGCTGCTGGACGGCTCAGAGAGATGATCCATAACGCGGCCGAGCGTTTGGTGTTTTTTTTTTTTTTTTTCCCCCCAGGATGACGCTGTGCTGGTGTAATGTCATCAGAATGGAGGGGGAGGGGGAGTGGGTGCTGTACCTTGACGAAGGCGATGCCGTTGGGCGACACGGTGATGTCGTTGCGGAGCTGGTAGAGGAGCTCAGGAGCAACTCGCAGGGAGGTGCAGCCGAACTTAAACTCATCGGGCCTGAAATAGAGACACAGTAGAGAAAACTAGCTCTCATCTTGTTTCTGTAAACAAACTGTAATCAAAATCTCTACATTTCAATCCTATTTAACCTTCACCAATAAAAAGCAAAAATTTCTTCACTTCTTGATGCAACCATGAAGTCATTATCGACTGAGCTGTGAGCAACAGTTACTTGGCAAAAAGTTCAGTGACTTTTCAACTGAGCTGAGATAAACTTCAGGCTGTTGCTATGCAGAGCAGAGAGGAGGCAAGTATGGAAACAATGGTAAAATGTACAATATACAGTATGCAAGGACACTTTTTATTCATGGTGGTAACACCTGTGGGCACTTGGAAAATGTTGTACATGGACATTTTTGTGAAGTAAAGAATTAACATTTTAATGATTTCCGGCATTATATCTATGTTATACTGTGCAGAAAACATGCTTAGGTTCTCTATACTTCTACCCTTGGCTGCTCTGTTTCTATAGAGGACTTAATATTGCAGTGAAAAATGAGCCCACAGTAGGGTAAAAATGTGACCAGAGCAAATTTTAAAAAACGCCCAGAAACTGCTTGGAGTTCAGAGGGTGAAATATTAGAAAACAGTGAAAAAACTGCTGATTTCCCAGAGTCCAAGTAACGTCCTCAAATGTTGAGCTCGGTTTGATGTACAGTCTGAAACCCGAAGACGTTCAGTTTGCCATGAAATAAACTTAAAAAGCAACACATTCTGACATGGAGAAGCTGGAGCTTTAATATTATCACTTTTCTAAACAGCTGTTGATGAATTTTCTTTCTGTCCTAACTGACAAATTTACTGATACTTTAAATGTAAGAACCCGGCATTGGCCACTAATAGTCCTAAAGAGAATAATACTGTATAAACACAAGCAGAAAAACAGATGTCAGGTATAACTGTAAAAATAACAAATGTTAAAAAAAAAAAAGAAAAAAAAAAAGCTTTTTATCCTTTAAAGACAGTTACTGGAGGAAAAACAGCTTGTTTAAACAGCTAAAATTTCCATCCAGCCCCTGAGCTGATTTGCCACTTTCTACTCTGCTGAGAACGAGGAGCATGAAGCCTGTGTATGTCTGCCAGGCACTCCTCGTTTTTTTATGTTACCTTGGAGTAGCAGACATATGCATGTTGGAAAGAAGTGTTCACGTCTCCTGCTGTTGCTATGCAACTACACTAATCCTGCTGAAAAACTGAAATAACTCCTAACTCGCGGAGCTCGCTGCCCTGAGCTGTGAACAACATGCAGAGCTCTCCGAGAGTTTGTTCCATTAAAAATAATGAGGGGAGGAAGGAGCTGCTGGAGGGAGACTTTCCTGGCAGACGTGCAACCTAAGCAGATTCGGTACATGCTGTCGGTGTGTGGGCCTGTCATGTCCTTACGTTCCCAGGCTGTCCACGTGGCCGAGGCAGGTGGAGAAGCAGTAGTTGTACGCGATGACGATGGAGGGGTAGAGCGACTGGAAGTCCAGCACGACCACAGAGTTGCTGTAAAAGCGCGACTCGGGCTCCATGACCAGGGGGATGCACTGCGGCGCTCTCTGCTGGGCTCGCTGCTGCACGCTGGGGGTCACGGGGATGTAGTTGAGGGGTTTGGCCAAGCGGAGCATCATGGACTCGACACGGTACTGAGGACGAAAGATAGAAGCTCTTTAAAGCACTTCATGGTATCATACTACTTCTTTTTCTTCCTTCTTTACCCATATTTTTGTCAATCCACTGTATTCATGCATTATTAAAGCAGGTTAGAACAAATCAGTGTTAAAGCCGGCTGCTCAGGTGGTGGAGCGGATAGTCCACTGAAGTTTGTGGCAGCTCTGTTGTGACTGGTGTGAAATGAGCGGACAAGAAACACTGTAAACCACTTTGAGGGCCACTGAGGTGGAATAGCGCTACATATGCACCATCTCTTGAGCGCTTTGATCAGATTTATGGCGAAATGCTTTAATGCTTAAACAGGATAAAACCATTTAAATAGCAAAGCAGTGCAACTAGCTGGAAATGTAAAACTGAAGAATTATAAAGATCATTTATGCAGCACATGTGGAGTGACTTCTCATTTTTCTTCAGCTCTGTTTTTGTCCGTACCACTTCCTGGGAAAAATCTGATACAAACATGAATTTGCAGGCTGTGAAACTAAAACAATGTTAAAAGGCACTACAGAGCTGAAGGGAGCTGCAGGAATGTGTGATAATTATCTTCAGAAACTTCATCATTTTGGATACTCAAAATACTCAGTGTTTCTATAACGCATTTTGATGTTTCACATTTGAGAATGTTGAAATGTTGAAAAAACCCAATTTTGCAAGAAAATATTTGAACGAGTTAATGTGCGCAAAGGGCGATAGAAATGGCTTTTCCAAATAAATTCTGATGTAATAAAACATTTAATTCACGACTAATTAGCCGTTTCTTTCATTGTAATCGTCTCCAGACGGTATTAAACGTGTCTAATTACCAGCTGACATGAAGGAATAATTACAACTTGTCTGACCAAAAACAATCCTAAACACTTCTGGTTTTTTTTACACACATTTTTCTCTTGTAGACGACCAAAGTTTTGTTTGTTTCTCTTTATTACAGCCATGCATAATGTTGCTTGTACCGTCACCTTACCGCTTGGTTTTTTTCACTCCAAAGCAGTTCATGGAAAGAAGCCTAATTTGCACTGTCTTCACATTTTAATTTTTCCCAACATTTTGAGAGCTGTCTTCAAATTAGCATGACAATTACAAGGAAACACGACTACAGTGATTTGCTCGTATACAAATGTTCCTAACACAGGTCTGAAATACGATTATAAGCTGGTTACTGAGATCTTTTAACTCTCCCTCATCAACATTACCAGTGTGATGAAAAAGATCATGAGTGTAACCATCAGTAAATCACTGATGGTGTCAACACAGCAGCACAGAGAACTTTGGGCTAATCAGTGTGTCCAGAAGTCATGTCTCCATTACCGAGAGAGCTCCAGGTTTGAAATCTGTACCTGAACTAAAGCGACAGTGAAGTCTGTGAGTACCTGTGACCCTCGGGTCAGAACATGGAAGAACTGAATCCCAAACAGTCTGGCGAGCTCGCTGGTTCGGCCGACGATGTCGTGCTGCTGCAGAAGCTGCATGGAGCCACGGACTCGGCTCACGTAGTGATCCACCAGCTTCCATCTACGGTAACACACACATCAGCACAATCATGTAATACACACCAGAGATTTGGGGGTTTTCTGAAACAAAGGGTGAATTATACAAGAAGCAAGATAAATTAACAGGCAGGCAGACTTCTACTGGCTCTGATCACTTTTTAATGTACATGCAGTGAACTATTTATGAGTCACACATGAGTCACTTTAGTTGTCATTTCCAGTAAATGTATTTCTATCTATGGTGAAAAAAAAGAGAAAAATACTGTCACGGTGGTTCAAATAAAAATAGACAGAATGAGCTATGTAATTTAATGTCCCAAAAGGCCTGTATAATAACCAGTGTATATGATTCTGATGAAGTGTGTTTGACGTTGGCACAAACCTGTACAAGTCTGTGTTGTGGTCAAACCAGTCGGATAGCGTTCGGGGGCTGTACAGGGGGAAGCGCTGGTGGAGAACATGGAAGGCCACGTTCTCGAAACTGTAGTTGTTCAACGTCACCTGGAGGAAAAAAGAAAAACATCTTTACTAACTTCTCCTCAAAGTAACTCCTACATTTTACAGAACGTCAATCAAGTAATGATCATATTTCAAAGTTCTGAAGTGGTGAACAGACTGAAAATAGCAATTTAACACTAGAATGTATGAAAGCAAGTGGAGAGCAGTTTGCAAAGTGTAGAAGTGGAAAACTTTGCTTGTCTAAACCATACCACAGATTTTTTTGATGGCGGTGGTTTTGCTTGTAACTGCATAAAATGAAAGTGTCTGCTTGTGACCACTAATCACAGGTTACGGCCTTTTTGTGGATGAGCCGTGAGCAGTTCTGACTGAGAGTTTTGTTTCATTTGAAGAATTTTTAGATACCTGAAGAGGTGCAAGTATCCAGTAATTCACTGAGGGGAAAAAAGCAAAACTTTAAGCCATAAAAATAGTTTTGTGTATCAGAAACACAGAACATCCTTATCTTTTCCATTATGTAGAGACCCCTCAGGTTTCTTGGAGGAGCTCCAAACCCTCAGCTGGCAGCTACTTTTATGATATTCCTCAAATCCCATGACTTTTGGGATTACAGGGTCAAGATTTAATGGGAAAATATTCCCTGGAAAGCTCATAAAAATGTCTCTGAAAATAGTTTTTCACACAACACAGTTTTGTTGAGCTTTGTATGGTGAGTGTATTCTGCTTCCACTGGCCACTGTGGGCCCCTGTAGTCTGCTACACTGACAAGGAGGGAATCCCTGCGTGTTCTCACTGAGAAAAACAGCATTTTTAATCAAAAAGCAACTGAGCTCACAGCCTAAAGCAGCAGAAACTGTTGGCACGCAGGAGCCAGCAGTGGAGAATGCCAGCTCAGGGTAAACCACTGAGTAAACAAAAATGTAAGAAAAAAATAGAGTATTATTGTTCATAGGCTGAAATACTGCTCATTGTAAAAAATAAAATAAAATCAAGAGGCACAAATGCTCTCTGCAGCAGGAAAGATATGCAACAGTGGTGAGACTCCCTCCTGAAAGACGAGAGGAGTGACAGAAAGTAGGTCACGAGCTGAAATTCTGAGATCTGGTGGCTGACAGTGGAGTGTGCGGAGGTCATGCCGGGACACCTGCCTCGGTTTTCATCACCCTCCAGAGGTTGAGTGTGATGCGTCCTATGATGTTAATCTCCGTCATGGTGTCGGCTCCGTACTCATCCCTCTCTGCAGCGAAGCGATTCTCTTTGGAGTCACCTGAGGACACGAACGGAGCCAGACAGACAGCCAATTACAGAGGAGGGCAGCCGCCGGAGGCTCTCCATTCAGCTCTCAGTGCACACACTCACGGGGAAACATCCAAACACATTCACACAGCGCTGCAAACTGACACTCATTCACAGCTACACAAACTGAGCCACATGTGTTTGCAGTTACAGTACTGATAGCGTGCACATGAGCTGACACACACACACACACACACACTTTGTATTGACCTGGGTTTAATGATTTTCCCCAGACAGGACTGAACACTTTCTAGAGAAAAACATAAAAGTGCACCCACACACACCCTCAGTCTGATTGGACGCACTGACTTTTACTAGCAACACTCCGACTGTCAGATTCAATAATCGGCTGCAAAATCCTGCACGTGTGTAATATGTGGCTGTGCATTTAACAAGTGCCAGCTTCAATTTATGGATTTACTGTGATGTGTCACAACCTCGTTTTAAATGTGGGGAAGTTAATAGTCGGCTACAAGCAGTGGTTTCTGAGTGAAACACTGCAAAGAGACCCTTCATATAACATTTTTAGATGTACACAAATGGGCTAGATGCTGTGGTCACCTGGTGTTTTCAAGGAAAAGAGGGGAATCTGGTTTAAATTTAACTTGGATGGCTCTACTATGAGGCCACATTTGACATTCCTGTCTGGTTTCAGACTACAGGACTGTTTCTTTTACATAATTTTTTCTTATTTGGAAGCCATATAATGAGCAAAGTAAGCAGTCAAGAGCATAACTGAGCAGTTCCAGCTTGAAACTGCAGCACACTGATGACAGTAACAAAAACATAGATACAGAATTTCAGGGTTTCATGTCTGACAAGCCTTAGGAATCAATCCTGTCAACTTGTGAGGTAAGTCTTTTTGGTTCAAACATAAACAGCTAAATTACTCCAATCGTACAACTTGCCATTGTGTAATGTACAGTAATTTTAGTGTTTGAACAGAGTTGTGGGTAAGCTGGTGTTTTTGAGTTTGATGGATTAGCGGAGACAGAAGTAGAGACTATGTAAATCTGCTAGAGGAAGCAACTGTGTACATTTACATCTAAGCCATTTAAGGGCTGGAAAGAATTACTTTAATGGAAAACTTCTGCATATGTACCTTTGATACACAGGGACGAGTTTTTATGGGTTTATTTACTGACCGTAGAGGGACTTAACAAAAGACTGTGTTTATCTTCTGCACACAAGCTCCCCTGAGCAATAAGAAAAGCTGAACTCCCTGTTATTTCCTGTCATACCTGGCACTCGTGACAGCTGCTGACACAAGTCCACTCCGAGTGCTGCAGCCCGCTGGAGGAGGTAACCCCAGGAGTGCATCTGCACCTCGTATCCCAACAGGATGTCCGGGTCAAACCTGATCAGAACACAGCATGTTAGCACGGAGACATCATTTATGAACGATATACATTCCCTCCACTTGTGAGAAATGCAACCTTTACAACACAAGCAATTAGAAAGACAGCTCAGGATCCAACTGTGCTTCAGTGAGAGCATGATGCAGACACAGACCTCCTAATGATGGCGATCAGCTCCTGAAACAGCATCTTCTCCTCAGCGGTGTACGTCACCTGCAGCCCAGAGATGCCCGACCTGACCAGCAGCGGTGCTGTTTCTCTGCGACCTGCTGAGAACGTTTAAACACATTCATCAGTCGGACTAAGTAGAGAAAAGCAATCATCACATGAATTTTCCACCTTAATAACTTTTGAGTACTTGAGAAGAAACTGCTGTAAGATAGAACTCAAGATTGAAATGCAAAGTGAAACTGACATCTTCTTGTGCTGTAAATAAGTAAGACTTTACCTTGGCTACAACTTTGATGGTCCTTGTCCACCACAATGGCGCCCGTCAACTGGGTGCCGTCTGCATCCGGCAGGGGACCGTCGGAACTGAGGCAGTAGAATAAGGCACATATGGGGTCGAACTCAGGATCAGGTTCGAGGTCACGGCGGGTTCTTGCATGGAGTTCCATGCCCATCAGCGTTAGGTGCTGGACCTGAAGAGGAAAAACAAAAATCCATCCGAAGCTAAAAAACGAAGGCTGAAAACACATCTATCAAAGATGCACATCAGGTCACCCTCTACCTATTATTGATATTCTTTCAGCTCTGCACTCAAACAAACTCTAGATTTTCCTTGTATCTTCTACAATATGCCCTGACTGCATTTATCTGATCAGATATCTAGATATTGGCTTAGCTTTGAACATTTCAACCCTTCCTAACGACTGCTTAATATTTCAGTGAACTAGTACATTAATGTTTTTCTGATGAAGTCTCTCTTGATGAGAGCTCCATTAATGCCAGGAATATAAAACAGAAATCCAGACAGACTGCGTGAGCTCCCATGGATAGGATTTAGTGCTGAAAATCATCCACTTAAACATAAGTTGAAGTGTTTAAGAGCTACTCCAGCAGTCGAATCTGCTACGTCTGAAACCCTGAAACCACAAATCCTGCCAAACCTTTGTCTCTAATGTTTTCCAACATTCTCTGTCTTCTTCTCAACTTTCCCTAAACTCCAAAATACAGGTGCAGCTGAGGGAAACTACAGTTTTTCCAGATGAAAAGGAATGTGGGGGATTTGAAAGGTCTTGTGTAAGACTAAGATAACAAGTCCTGAAGACATTTTTTGACCAGTTACTCAACTCATACAAATTCTAAGAAATGCAGGGACTTATAGGTTTAACTATTTAGGCTTTCTCACACATTTAACCCTCTGAATCCTAAAACTAGCTGGTAGGTTTGAAAGGCATGCTATCTTTTTAAAAATCACTAAAAAAATTGCACCATTTATCAGAGCCAGAAACCCTGAAACCTGAAAAACATGTCTGATTTTCAACTATCCAACAGTCATTAAACTAAGTGTGAAAAGCATTTCTGTCAGGAAAAGTAACCAAATCTAAACTTAAAGTCATGATAATTGTGAGAATCACTTCATTTTACGTGTCTTGATAAATTAGTTCTTGATAACTTGACTGTGTAAATTCCAAGTCACATGACAAAAATTCAGGGACATATGTGTTTAGACAGCAGATGGGACACGAGTATAGGGACAAATCTAAAAGTAAGTTCTAAAATATCTCTATTATATAGTGTAACAACTTTTTCTTAGTATTGGTAACACCTGAGCACCTGTAAAAATATTGCACCTGTTGATTGGAGGTATCTCAATATTTGTAACAAAAAAAAAGGGTTAGGTTTTTGAAAATCTGTCTCGTGAGGGCTAGGTTTACTTTTTTTTTTTTTTTTTCTTCAATTATGGAATTGTAACATTGTTTTACAGACATTTTTGAGTTCTCTGTACAACTAGCCATTGGCTGTGATGTTTCCATAAAAGACTTTATGTTATACCAGAGATAATAAAAAAAACAAACAAACAAACAAAAAAAACTGTTCTGTTTAGGCCAGCTAATTCCGGTTTGTGTTTCTCTTGTTACAATTCATTTGAACAGATCTGAACACAGCAAATATATTTGGACACTGAGACATTTTAAAAGAACTGGTCTCAACCAAAGTGCTTGTGACGCGAGTGTGAGTCAAACCCAATCTGACATGATGACTGGGAATAGTCTGCAACGTTTTTTGGTTTGTTTTTTTGGTATCTGTGTGTTTATTTGGTGTAGACAGAGGACACAACATCTGCAGCTTGGAAGTGAACAACATTTAAGCAGACAGGACCTTTCTTTTGTGCTTTCTTTTTCTTAGTTGTGTACTTTTGTTGGCTTGAATTTTTTTTCTTTGTGTGAAGAAGCTGAACCAAGAGGAAACCACAACAAGGCATCCAACACCTCATCTGGCCAAGAACAAACAAGTTATGGGCTTGAAAACGCCCTGAGGTGCAGCTCACCTCATGCAGAGCTTTGGCATCCTGCAGGTTCTGCATGCTGACTTTGAAGCCGTACGAGTTGGCTATACTGGGCCCTTCAATCTGAGAGTTATCTTTCTTTGGCACATTCAAAGCAGCAAACTGGTTCTGTGGAGGAAGAAGAGGACATGAGAAATGTTGCAGTCAGGAAGACAGCACAGGCTCAATTTAAATAAGCAGACTGAGAGAGGGACCAACACTGCTACATGCACAGGTCAAGACCAAGATTTTAAAGTTGGCTCCCTGGGCTTTGATGTGTTGAGAGGTCTAAAAAAAAAAACCCAATCAAACACTTGCGCTCTGACCTTCATCTGTGTGGTCAGCAACACTCTTCTCAGTGGATCCGCCTGACTTCTCCTCCTCTGCTGGATTCTCTGAGAAACAGGATCGTCTGCAGCGAGCAAAGCAGCAGCATGAATGTTAATGACAAGACTGCATGGAATTAAATCAAAAAATAAGTCAGCTGTGACAAATCCTCACTTACTTGTCAATCATTTAGATATTTTTAGCTGATGTGACAACATCACAGATGACAGATTAGTGCTGTTTTCTTACCCTCAGATATGGGCGTGCTGCACACTGGTTCAAGATCTTCCTTGCTTCTCCGCCGCCTCCTTAAGAAGGGGGTGCTGTGAAGGAGGTGAGGACTGGCCCTCCCCTCCTCCCTGTCACTGCTATGGGGAAGTGAGGGACTGCGGCTCCCTCCTAGTCTCTCCAGGGAATTCGAGAGCCGAGGGGATAGTGGTTCTGGAGAGTTTTCGCTTGGCCTGTTCTCGCTGAGACGGTCTGGGCCTGAGGGGCTGGCCTGACAGGACTGCTGCCACGGAGGCAGCTCTGGGGAATCTGGAGAAGTGGTTTTATCATCATCATCCTCATCTTTTTCTTTGTCCTCCTGCTCAAGAACCACACTGCCTTCATCTGAAACAGGACTTGTCTCTGTGGATTTACATTGCGAGCCTGAATTAACTAAAGGTGATATGATTAAAGACAGGTTCCGTTTCTTTCTCCTTTGAGCCCTGATACTGGAAAGGTTCCCGCACAGCTCAACCTTCACTGCCGGGCAGCTGGAAGCAGCTGGCTGCTCAGCTCTCTCTGAGTTCCCCTCCTCCACATCCAGCCCAATCCTCCCCTTCGTCTCTCTCCTCCCTTTCTGTAAACTCTCATACTGTTTCCTGGCTTCTAGCCACAGCTGCACACGCTCGCGGCTTGGTGGGTTTTTGCAGGGCAGCAGGACGACCTTCTTGTCACTGGATGAGGATTGGTCAACCTCTGCCGGCTCTTTAGTCGTCTCTGGGGCCTCGGCTCCCTGGGAACATGAGGTAATAGTGGCGGCTGGATGCGTCATAGCTGAGAAGGCCGTCTTCCAGAAATGGAGGCCCTCCAAAGACAAGTCTCCATTGAACTCTGAGAGCTCCTTAGTTAATCTGGTGCCCACCGTTAGCTTACGGCCGCCAACCTCCCTGAAGAAAAGACAAGGGAATATGATTAGTTCACCTATTTACATTTTATAAATTACTATAATTCATCACAGCTCCACAGATGGAAAATTATGCTAACTGGTATAATGAATCACCTGGAACATATTTATCAAGTAAAGGCCTGTAGATGGTATTGAGCTTAGCCAGACCAATACTGGACTTGTTAGGATTTTTGAGGATATGGGAGTTGAAAAATAGATGTCAACAGTTCCATCTGGAGTTTTAGCAAACAAAAAATCAGTTTACTATTATTTGCCAGAATGCAGTGAGAGTGTCTGAGAGGTCTAACAAATATTTTAAATGCAATTCCGTAATTGCTGGATGTTTTTTAATTTTACATTAATGTTCAACAGCTATTGTTTTCTTCTTCCTTTTTATGTTGCTATTTTTGTGGATACACCTTCACTGCTAACTGTCAATCAAAAGAACAGGATGAACCCTACAGTAGGACTGTGTTGTGTTGCATCACCTGCACATGCATTATTAAACCAAGGTGGGGATCAACTTCTAAAGATGTGGCTCCTTGACACTAAACTCTACAGGTGACTTTAACCCTCTGAACCCCAAAACCCACCAGCAGATTTGACAGGCCTGCTGTCCTTCAACAAAACTACAGCATTTTTAGAAGCAAGACACTGTGAAAATAAAAAGCATAGTCTGATTTTCCACTTTCCGACAGTCCTTGAACTAACTATCTGTCAAAATTAACCAAATCGAAGCTGATAACGTCCGAATTCTGATATGTCATTAAAATCACTTTACCCTACATCTCTGAATAAATATGCCAAAAAAATAAACTGTTTGTAGTAATCAGATTCTGTTAAAAAACAAAAATCTGCACTCCTCTCCACAATTGTGCAGCTGTGATCAACAGCCAACTGACAAAAATTAAGGAACTTTTCAGTTAAACTCAGCTGAACTGCAAACTGTGTCAACAGAGAGCAGATAGGAGACAAGTATGGAGCCAAAGTAAACATTCAAGTAGTAGAATAGCAGTAGTATGTAGAGCCGCCGGCTTTTTTAGCATTAGTAACTCCTCTGGACACTTGGAAAAAGTGCTGTACATGTCGATTCCTTTTTTTTTTCTTTTTCTTTTTACAAAATAAATGATCAAAGAAGTGCAACTTAGGTTTTTGTCTTTAGTATGAACATAAATTTATAATTGAGTTATACTGCACAGAAGAGCGGTGCAGGACTTTATACTGTAGTGAAAAATGAACCCACAGTGACTATGAATGTGACAGGCGCAAAAGACACTCAGAAACGGAGTTACTGTTCTGAGGGTTAACTACCAATTTACTTAACTGTGGGCACAGATAGACTGTCTATGGGAAGCTAAAATCAGCTGATATCTGCCATTCTGAGGAGCTGGATTCCATTTCTGGTATAGAAAGCTGTTTATTCTATGTACATTCAGTCCCCAAACAGGCTATTTATGTTAAAGATAGAATAAAAACCACTGTTGTTGCTGCTTGTACTGCTGGTATATAGAGTCTTACATTGGTTTTCCTGGAGCATCAGAGGGATCACTGCAGAAGGGCTCCTGGAACGTGGCCTCTGACATCTCCAGGTCCAGCAGGGTGCTCAGGATCTCGTCCCGGCTTGGAGGGGACATGAGGGGCTTCAGAATGTGAGCTCCACCTCCAGCGCCTCGCTGCAGCTGGCTTGCCCTCACCTGCGATAGCGAGCTGATGGAGCGTGGAGAGCTACTGGGTGTTGTGGACGTTAGCCCATCGATGCCCTCCAGAAGCTCACCTGTGGGCGAACCCTCGTGGTCGACGAATGACGCAGAGCTTAAAGACAGTGGGATGACGGGGTCGAAAACTGAGAAGAGCAGCTCTTTTCTCTCACAGTGGAAGTCCTGAAAGGGGCTGAGACTGTGGGCTTTACCTAAAGAGAAGTCCCACTCTCTGCTCCTGGTTTTCTCAGACTCGAGCAGCGTGAGATTCGTTGCAGACTCCCCGTTCTCTGGTCTATCGAAGAGTTCAGGGCTGACGGGTCTTGCTTTCTGGCAGTCAGATCCTCTTTGAAGATCCTCTACAGAATTAACCAGCTTATCAAGTTTCTTCTCAAAGCCCAGTGCCTGAGCAGAAACAGCCTCCTGGCTAATATCACTCAGGAACTTAGCAGGTAAGTTTTTATCAGTCAGGACAAACTGACTGCCGCTATACGGACTGGAGAACTCTGTCTGATCAATGGCGTTTATATCGAAGGTGTAGTTGTGTGGGAGCTCTGGTGACAAGCTGTCCTCCATGAAGCAGCTGTCCAGTCCTGGCTCTGACAGGAAGAGGGGGCAGTCGTCTGACATGTTGCCCTCCTGCTTCACTGATAGATCGGGCTGAGTGCTGCTTGTCTTGCCCTTCTTTGCTCTGGGTTTTTTATCCTTGGGAGTGTTCGACTTTGGGGCCCTGGGTTTCCGAGGAGCTGTGGAGGGGGCTCTTCTGGATTTAGCAGGTTTAGCTGTGGGACTTAGAAGGGCTGCTGCCTGAGCTATGGCAGTGGAGTGGCTGTCTGTACCGACCACCTGCATGGGAAGGGCCTGTCCCTGCTGCCTCTTCTGGAGAAGTTGCTTCAGGACAGCCAAGCCAGAGGGGGTCTCAGAGAGAGTAGGGATCTCCCCGTTCTTCGGGCCTGAGTGTGGGGAGACTGCCGCTGGCTGAACACCTTTACTTTGTTCCTGTGAGGGTCGTACAGCTGCTGGAGGTGGAGAAGCCACTAACTCCTCTTGTGAAGATTCTACCTTTACCGCAGTGGTCTGGCAAGCTTGCTGCTTCATCTGAGCTGGTGCTGAAATGCTTTGGTTGACCTCCATAATGGAAGTCTCACAGTCCTCAACCTTTGGTTCTATAAACTGGGCTGCTGAGTTGGATTCTGGTGCAGATGGAGTCTGGGACTGGCTGTGGCTATCTGTGCTCACTGGCTGCTGAAATGGAGGGACCTCCTGAGAGGAATTCTCAGAGTTAGGTGACTCATCTTCTGGGAAAAGGAGCTGGGAGTTGTCTTTACTTAAGTCATGGTTTTTAGGTTCCTCGCTTTTCTTTTTCCGAGACCTTCTCGGTCTTGTAGTGGTTGCAGAACTGTTTACAGTATCTTCAGCCAGACTTTCAGCTTTCTTTCTCCGCCTTGAAGCAGCAGCACCACTTTGTTTTGATTTCTCTTTTTTGGCCTCTTCTGCCTCTGGAGGCTTCATAGCAGTCTTGTTTACTTTCCTTTTAGTTTCTGTGGACTTCTTAGGTTTGGCAGTTTGACACTTACTTTGTGCTGCTTTGGTTGAAGTCACTGTGTTTGGCTTGTGATAAGCAGAACTAAGACATGGGTCACTGAGTGGATTTATGAGCTGTTCTGAACCCCCAGTGTCCATCAGAGGGTCACTTGGGGACCAACAACGCGGAGGCGTTGACTCTGTGGGGCTCGGGGATCTATCAGAGAGGTAGCCCAACTCTACCATGACATCTGTGTACTCAATGTCATGATCTTCTGCTAGCTCACAGTAACATGGCCGAGGGGGCGGTAGAGAGGGCAGGATTAGGCCTCTTTGACAGCCTTTAGTCCTTTTGACTCTTTCGCTCTGTTTGATGCGAGGTTTGGACGAGTTGCTGACCACTTTCTTGTTCGTGGAGTTGACCTTTGCCTTTCTTTTGGGGTGTTTTTTGGCCTTTGGCTCAGTGATGGGAAACTTGACGGCAGTGGATTCTGGCACTTTGGGCCAGAAATCCTTGAGAGGGGCCAGTTTGTTGTACTGCTCTATCTTGTCTGGTGTCAACAACACCAGCTGCTCCTCTGAATTTACTTTGGACATCTTCACCAGCATGTTTTTCTGTCCTTTGAACCTGTTGATAATAATGTATTTGATGATGATCGGAGGCTCCTTCTTGCGTCTTTTCTGGTATTTTAGCTCCTGCCCGGTTGAGACGTTGCTGTCCTTGAGCCGTTCTTTAGTGCCTGCTGGGTTTTTAGAACGAGTGACAGCTGAGTGTTCTCCATCCTCACCATCGTAGTTCATCTTCCGTTTGGCTCTCAGGGTGTATTTACTCCCAGGCAGCGCTGATGGTTTCGTACAGGTGACTTTAGTGGATAAATCTTGCGTTGGGCTCAACCTGTCCTCTACAAAGTCTTTAGATTCCTCAGGAAAAGAGGACTCAGAGGAAGGCAAATTGGGCCCTGAAAGTGATCCTGTTTGCTCGTTTACAGACCTCTCCTCACTTTCTGACTCCTCTTTTACAATTGGCTCATCTTTAATTGGCTCAGCCTCTTCCATTGGTTGATCTTCTGAAACTGGCATCTCCGTGTCTGCGGTCACTGGACTAGGAGGTGTGACTGAGGGGAGGCCAGTGTTAACCTGGCTGTCAGAGGTAGAGCTTTGAACGATCTTTAATTTGTTCCTATGTCCTGCCATCCCTAACCTTTTTTTGTTCATCTTTAGCTTAGACCTGCGAGGCTGCACCTGTTCGAGCTTGCTGCAGCTATCGGTTAGCTTTTTGTTTCCAGCTTTCTTCCTGCTGAGGCAGTTGGAGAGAATGACGCTGGGGAAGAACTTGTAGTGTGCCTCTTGCTGGGCCACGATAGTCCTCTCAGTCTTATTTTCCTGATAGTCTTCGTACCTGATTTTGAGTTCGCCAACATCTCCCTCCTCACTGTCCTGGCCCATTTCTTCCTCCTGAGGATCAAGAAACTCATCCTCCTTCATGGGTGACGGGGCCGAGGCGATGTTCCTCAGGATGGGGCTTTTACTTTCCTTTGTGCTCAGCTCCAGCTCCGTCTTAGCTGAGCAGTTTCTCAGCTCTGAGTAACAGAGAGAGAAGGTCCTGTGGTTCTGAAGAATGGACAGACAGTTTGTTTCTACATTCTTTATGCTGCCGTACTTCTTCCTGTTCTTCATGACTTTTCCATTACCAAACGGGAAACTTTCTAGATCTGTTTTATCCAAAGCTATCGAGGTTTTCTTGTCGTAGGTGTACAGGGGTCGTATGTCCTCTTTGTCCACGCAGATGGGAGACGCCTCGGGGTGATTGGCTATTTTACATGGGATGGGGTGCTTAACTGGCAGGATGTAGGGGATTTCTTTATTAACCTTGAACCCTGTTGAACATTCACTGCTGCTGTCCTGGCTGCTTTTTAACTGAAAGTGCTTGTCAAGAGGTTGCTCCGTGTCCAACACATGAACCGGTCTGTGCTCAGGATGTTTGCACTCCAGGAGGATCTTAGCTGAGGAAGGTGACTCCAGGTGGACAGTCTCCACAGGGAAGGGATTTCTTTTCCCCAGCATCTTTTCCGCGACTATGAGTGAAGACTGCGTCATAGAGCCGCTGTCTGTTAAAGATGAATCTATGGATACAACAGAAAAGAAGAAGAAGGAGCTCAGTTAGTGTTTATAGCTCGATCAAATTTCTGTTGAGCAGTAACATTTGTAGAGGTTGATGGAACTGAAATTGCTTCACAGATGAATGACAAGCTGACAATAAGGCAGCTCCAATGTAAACAGCAAAAAATTTAAGTAAAAAAGTAAAGCAGTTGAGACTAGTGAACACAGGAAACAAAAATAGTGAAAAAGTAAAAATAAAACCAGTCTAAATTGTTTCTATAAATAATGAGAATAATTTAAAAAAAAAAAAAAAAAGGCCTGAAAATCACTACCTTAAAAGAAGAAGCTCTACACTTAACTGAATTGCAAACCTTTACCGTGACAATTCCTACCGCCTATTCCCAATTCTGACATTTTAAAAAAATCAGTCGTTTCACATTCTTGTCTTTTATCTCTGATCCTAAGCTTTGTCCCTCAGTCTTTGTATCTCTTGGTAATGTAGTTGCAATGCTATTGGTTCAGCTGAGATTATGATCTGACACTGGAAAACACTTATGTGTGGAATGATAAATTACAGCTCATATACAGCCGCATTGATAACTGATGATAAAAGCCAAACTTGTGTGCAAATGCAAAAAGTTATATAGCGCTGAATAGTTATCAGCATATAATCGCAGCAGCCCTATGTGAGTAAAATGAGAATTATTTATAATATGCATACATAAAACTTAATATTAGATTAATATTGCTTCTGGGCCTGGTCACACTGTAACACCCATTTCTTTCTGCAAATACGGCTTTTTTGTGAGTGTTTATGAAGGGCTATGAGGTAATATAAGAAGTGGCGCAGCTGTACACACATCAAATGCATCTATAAGCGTACTAAACCTGCACTGATGAAGAACAAGCATGGCAGTTCCCTGAGAAATATGCTCAGATCTTCATCTGATTATTTATTGTTAACTTTAATACGATTATGTTTGCAGCCTGTAACCCACTATGAGAGGATATACTTCTACTGCAATACATAATTCTTTGATATCTTTGCACATTGTTAGTAAGTGGAAACCTCTGGGGCTGAAAAATGAAGCCAATGTGAAAATGTCAACAACTGCAGTTCCTCAAAATGCCACTTGAGGCTGCTGAACAAGTGAGTCAATCGCCAAAGAACTGGTGTTAAAATGTCCAACTTTACAGCAGAAATAAACATGTTTAGAGCCTGTTGACAGTTTTTTGTTCCCAGTAACTGTACAGGGGGTGGATTTTTATATAACTCAACCATGTAAATTGTATTAAGGCTTAAAATTAAGTATAGTTAAGAGCGAGACTGCTTTGAGTTACTGCTTTGAGTTGTTCGCCCCGTCATAGGCCAGTTCTTGGCCCTTTGCATGGCCCTTTTCAGCTTCACTTCCTTGCTCATTTTTGAACTAGCCAGAGTTAGAAGAAATCTGGTATTGCCAAAAAAGGTAACAGCTGGAGCCACCATACTGAGGTTGAAAACTGCTTCAGAAGAAATCTAGTGGTGACCAAGGAGGGTTTGTCCATCTTTATATACAATCAGTGGTGACTGACTTCTGCGTTCAATGTTTCAAATTACTGAGGTGGGCTTCTTTGTGGTATTGCAGAACTTTTTAGATGCTTTTTATGATAAAGCAACGACATGTTTTTAAATATATATTTGCATGCAAAGAAAGTGGGGGTAAAAAGTGAAATTATACTGTTGATGCAGCTGTTACAAAAAAACAATACAAATGGTGCAAATACTCTGGTACACTCATGATGTCAACTGAACAGAGTGAAAAGCGCTTGACTTTCACTAAGTATGAATCTCTGTCTTCATATCTCTAAAGACTATTAATAGTTTTTTGATAATCACCCCCACTCCAGGGAATCAATTACAATCATGGAGTCTATAACAAATAGCATGTCCTTCATAAAAATCTAAAAATTAAAAAAAAAAAAAAAAAAACAGGTGCTGACCCAACTTTTTATTCTGCAGCAGCTGCTGGATCCATGTTCTGATATCGTTGATTGAATATGAATCAGCAGGGGATGCAAGATGGGCGTCAAAGCAAACTGACATTTCAGTACATCTTGGCGTAAGATGACTCACCGCTGCTCTCGTCTGCCGCCCCGTCGAGCTGGGGGATGGACAGGTTGGCGAACAGAGAGCTGTTCCCGCTCCACTCCATGTCTTCGTCACAGGAGTCCTGCTGCTCGTCACTGAAGCCGTCCTCTGCCTCCTTCATACCGGGCCTGAGCACACAGACAGGACGCTGATTTAACAATGCACAGGCACAAACAGCTCAGTGTCGACGAACGTTCTCTGATCACTCAACAAACGCATCTAATTTATCCTGATGTTTGCATTGCATTATACCTCCTAAACTGGGTAAACACTGCACTGATTAGACCAGATTCTAATCCTAAGTTTCCATCTCATGTAGTGCTGGTTGTTGTTTAAATTTTTTGACACTGCTGTCAAAATGATACCTACAAATAAAAACCAAAACAATCCTTTTCTAGGCAAAAAGACTTGGTTCCCTTACATCTAGTAAAACAATCAAAATATGAAAAACGTGTATGGATAAGGTATACAAGTTTAAAAGTAGTATATTCGTGATCAAAATTTAAACCCATCTAATCACAGAAAGAGACACCAAGCTTACAAATCTAACCAGACATTCAACTTCAGCTTTCAGTCTTGACAATCAGCTACACAGTTTGTCCCAAAAAAGGACGAGGTTTGATATATTTAGCTTTTGTTTGCTTTTCAACTGAGCTGTTTGATGCAAATTATAGTGTAAAAGGGCAAAACAACAACAAACTGTTCCAGTAACAAAAGGAGTTCCCTCAAAGTTCCCAAAAGCAACAGAGACAAACTTGCCTCGGTGGGGATGAGCCCTCCGGAGGCTCGTTGTCCCACCGCTGTGACATTACTACGCTGAGCTCTGCCTCCTCCTTGTCCAGCTCTGGCCCTGCTTCCTCTTCATCGCTGTTGTAGTGGTAACTCCTGGCACCAGAGAGGGAGCGTGACTGGGAATTCTGCCGAACGGGGGTCCTGCAGAAACCATCGTTCTCCAGGCCTGCCAGCAAATCGATGATGGTGTGGTCTTGGCTGTTGTCTGCCACAAAAGACGACAAAAACAAACCATTTAAAAGACATTACGTCAATCAGCTGCAAGCAACAATTTCAACAACAGCGTCATCTGAGTCTAGACCTTTAACCTACTGTGAAAATGAAGGGATGATGTAAAAATGGCATGGTGTTTTCGTTAAACACCTTGAATTGAAGCTGAAAGTCTACACATCTTTGTGATCATCTCTGTTTGTAAGAATTCAGTTATGTCAAATGGAGCATTTATAATCAAAGTAATTTAGGTGCTGCATAAGAACAGTGGAAGGAGCTAAGGCTACAAGCTTAAGGCAGATTAAAACAGTGCATTGTTATTGATGAACTCCATGGCGTTTGGGTTTATTCAGATTCATGCATTTACTTTGAGAGGGAGATTTCCTTTAAAACTTACACACTGACCACCTCAGAGAGCATTTTCATATTAATGTAGGCAACCAAAAATGCTGTATAAGTTATAGCTGCCAACCTTTGAGTAATATAGTGTAATAACTAATCCCAATTAACTCTATTCCAACAGAGGTGTTGTGGTGTACATTTCTACTGCACAGCACTGATGTACAATCAGACTGTATATGGAAGACTCATCGGGAGAAAAATGTATCCTGATGCAATCTGATCACAAACGTGAACTTGTGACAGCTAACAACATCTGGACAAGCCAGGAATGTTAGAAAGAAGTGCTGTGGACAGATGAGATTTAAACTAAGGAGGAAAAAAACATGAACGGCAATAAAAAAAAGCACCTTGCCAGCTGTGAAGCAGTGGTTCGGGAAAAATTGCATGTATAGAGGGATGAGTGGATTGCACTTAATATTCTGGACGCAAATGTTGTATCATCAGTTGAGAAATCCATCCATCCATTCATTATCTATATATCACTTAATCCTCACTATAGGGTCGCGGGGGCTGGAGCCTATCCCAGCCAACTCAGGGCGAAGGCAGGGGACATCCCGGACAGGTCACCAGTCTATCACAGGGCTACACTTAAAGACAGACAACCAAGCACACTCACATCCACACTTACAGACAATTTAGAATCACCAATTAACATGTTTTTGCACTGTGGGAGGAAGCCGGAGAACCTGGAGAGAACCCACACTGCACGGGCAACATGCAAACTCCACGTAGAAAGATCCCAGGTGTCCTCAACGGGAGGCGAACCAGTGACCTTCTAGCTGCAAGGCGACTGTGCTAACCACCGAGTCACCTTGCCCCAGTTGAGAAATGGAAAATGAAAAAAGTTTATCACAGAACCAAGATCCTAAAAATTCAGGAAAGGAAAGACAACCTAAAGCTTCTGGAGAGGACTAGCAGGCTGCTGACCTGTCATTACTAAAAATCTTAAAGATGTTTGAGTGCAAGACAGACTGAAATGATTTCAGCAGATTAAGTATGTATGAACAACAAATAGTTTTAAGGGTGATGTTAAAAGAGCAGACAGTAGGAAAACAAAGTGAACAGTCCCTAGGTGTGTGATAACGTTTTATTAGGTGGCTGCCTTACCGAGCAGGGGCGAGTGGCTGGACGTCTGGGAGAGTGGGAGGAAAGTCTGACTGTTCTCCAGGAGACTGAGGATGGCCTCTTCATCAACGACAGCCTCCTCGGGGACTTTACCACTGCTCCTCACAGAGTCTGCAGACAGGGAAAGAGAGAGACAAAACTACTGTCAGGATTTCTGAAACGTCACACTTTGCTGACTGAGATAAGTTGAAAGAAAAAAAAAAAAAAGAGGTTCAGCATTGGGTCAATGTGTGTGTGCCACTGCTGTCTTTGGCAGTTTCTATGCTCCTTCAGGAGACTTGGCGGAGAAAGTGTCTGCAGATTAGACTAATGCTAATCATACTGTGTCACGCTTTCAGCCTCTGACTCGGTGGAAGTGATAGATAAGTGGAAACAAATGTCACTTTCACCAACTACCTTTCCTGCTGAACACACAGGTCGAAACAAATGCACTTCAATGGCAGGTCCAACTGAGAACTGGTATAATCATACTGCAGCGTTAACATTTTGACATATCACATAGAAAGAAAAGGGAAAGATAAACAGAAGTGAGGAAACATAGCACACACGTAAGAGGGATTTGGATAAAAGTAATGGATGAAACTAAAATCTCAACATTACTTTGATTTGAATCCTTCCTATGTGACTCAATCTATCTTGTCATCATCTCTCTAAATTCTAAGAAACAAAAAACAGTTAGAAACTTCAGTATCACTGCCAGCATTTGTTCTGAAATTTCTACTCCAGTCTTACGTTAGCTTACATATTTTTATGTTTATTAATATACAGCACTTATATCTATTTGCTTCTCTATTAGGCACTGCATTCACTCTGATGATACAAGTTTTTCTGAATAAAATCTAGCACAAAAACCCTTTTAGGAATAAAAAAAACCTTATCTTATTTTATAATATACGACACAGCCCCACAGTGCTGTTTCTCTGGGTAAAATCTGATTCTGAACTATGAATATGTTCTTAAAATGGTGCCCTGCGGGATGTAATTGCAGGAGCGTAAATCCATCTTAAGTTTGTATAACTCACAATGACTGGGATGTCATTTTGTCATTACAAATATATGAAATAACTTCCCGTGATAGAGTGCGCTTTCTGAGGCACCCAGCATTTTTCCTCACCTGGCTCAGAGTCCCTGTGCATCTCCACGGCATTAGCAGGAGTACACGGGGGTCCGTCTGAGGTCGAGGGGTCGAAGTGGAGGGTAAAGTCATTGAAATCCTCTTGGTCCTGCCCATCGCCAACAGACAAATCTTGTGTCCTGCGCAGAGAAAGACAGAAATTAAGACTATTTCTTTGTAGTCTGCATAGATTCTCAGGCATACAGGTTACGGTAATACCAGGAGCTTTAATTAAAAGCAACCGGACTCAAGCATGATCAAGGATTTTTTGATCTATTTGTTCAATAGTGCAGATTTTGCATCAACAGCATGATGAGAAATTACAGTGAAAATTTCAATTTAAATGTGCCAAAAAATGTGCTGCAAAAGGGTTGATGGGCAATTTTTCAAACAATGTGTCAGAATTAAACTGCTATATCAATTCAAATTTTACAGATACTATTTTAAATATGCATAATTTATGATAACAAAAAACTTGCAGGCAAATCAGAGAATGTCGAGCAGAAGGGCCCTGATGATTTAAGCTGGAATAACCCAAAGGCTTCTTTAGTTCTGAACTGATGAGATTTTACTGAAGCTCCAAGGATATTTCTTTGTAGGTTCTTTCAGTCAGATTGGAATTAAACATCCAGTCAACACAAGTCCACAGATCAAATGCATGAAAAACACCTGAACTCCGCTGCTTCAGTTTTACACTTGCAGGATAATGACGGACCAATTTTCACATTTTAAGGAATGATGAGTGTTAGGAGGACGGTGGATTGGGGGTAAGCACCGTCACCTCACAGCGAGAAGATCACCAGTTAGGACGCCTGGGATCTTTCTGTGTGGAGATTGCATGTTCTCCTTGTGCAACGTGGGTTCTCACCAACTTTCACCCACAGGCCAAAAACATGCTGAGGTTAATTGGCGATTCCAAATGGTCCATAGGTGTGGTTGTTTGTCTCTCTGTGTAGCCCTATGACAGACTGGCGACCTGTGGAGGGTTTCCCCTGCCTTCGCCCTAAGTCAGCTGGGATGGGCTCCAGCCCCCTGTGATCCTAGTGAGGATTAATTGGTGTATAGATGATGGATGGATGGATGGATGAGTGTTAGGAGCATTGCATGTTTGGCTGCTACCTGAATCACAAAGCAGAGGACCTTCTGGTATCTGCCCTCGTGCAGTCATGTTTTATTAGCATCTCTTTACTGTGAGTCTTAATCAGGGGAAGTGCTGTGTTTACTGTGTGTGTGGCTGCATAAGTGTGGAGAGTCTCCTGTCTGTGAGTGTGTGTGTGTGTGTGTGTGAGAGCGTATGAGTGTGTGCAGCTAAGTGGTGTTTGTCTCTGTGTTGGAGAGGGAATATGAATGGAAAACGGGCAGGCAGCCAACTGAGCTTTGTATCCCTCCAGATCGCTCTCAGCTACAAGCTGCCTATCACGCTCCCTTACCCATGCTGCCCCGCTGCATCGCCTAGCAACTCACCACTTAGTGACTCTGAAATATTGAAATGTAGACCAGGCAGGCGGCCGCCGCTTGTGAGTGGAACAAATTTCACAGAAATGGTCATAAAAAAAAAGGGGGGAAAAAAAAAAATTAATTCCATTTTAGGTGCTACTCCTGAACTGATCCCAGCCGTGTCTGCAGGCAGGCTTTTCAGATCTGACTAAGCTTGAAGATTAGAGCCTCATGCCCAAGAGGTTGCAGGTTTAAATCCCACATTGAGCAGGAGAGGGTTGAATATGATATACACCTCAAGATACTGCTTTGACCCCCTGTTGCTGGTGTGACTGCAGGCACGCATGGTCAACTTTCACAGGATAAATTCAAGCCCCAAAACACATTCTGATGAAATATGCTGAAAACAGTGCGGGGCCGCTGCACAGACAGACAGGTGAAGCTGCATAACACCATGTCTGAGTCCAGCAGTAGCCCAGAGGAATAAAGTAAACACTCCTGTGGAATCAAGCCAGATGGAAACGCAGCGCTGGTGGAGGATACACACACAAAAATAAAAAAGATCAGACAAAATACTCGACTGCAAGTCACAGCCTCATGTGCACCCTTTCACTCACTTTAAATGATGAATGAGCAGCACCTGGCAGAAGGCCTGATAAATGATGAATGGTTCTCAGACGTGATGAATGATGAAAACATGGGTGTAAATATATGAAATCAATGATTCTGGGGTTTTTCACAGCTGACATCTTGCTGCTCCTCCAGAGTCAGAGGTTAGGCTCACAGCGCGAGAAATTTTGCTGCAGTCTCATTGTCATTCGGAGAGTTGGTTCTGCCGGGCTGTATAAGGAAAGGGCTCCAGAGAGTCAGCGTGCACGTGCCACTGTCTGGCTGCCTCTTAATTAGTCTGCGAGCTAACGACTTTAGAGGCAGCGAGGGAGGGAGCCTGGCGGGCGTCGGGAGATTACTGCAGCGATTAACACATTTCGCCACCAAGCCACGCCCCTCTCGCCTCCTTCAGCGGCGTTTGAATGATGAAGTGGAGGAAAGAAAGAAAAAAACAGGAAGCAGAATAGAAAGCAAGCGTCACCTTCTACTGTACATCACTGCCCTGAAGTAATAGAGAGCCTTAATGACTCCCACCCTCTCGATTTATAAATATTTCAATTTGCACATCGCAATATCTGATGAATGAATGATAAAGTCAGAGTCAAAAGTTCATATTTCACCAATTACAACATTTCAATTAAGACTACTTGTTTGATGAAAAAAATAGAAGCATGTGCATGAATCACTTATGCGTCATGATGGTTTAAAAGCACATTTATTGATAAGCAAAACGGAACCTGTAACTGTAGTTCCAGTCAACACCACTGCAGTTACGCTACTTGCTAGGACAATACCATGCTAAATAATAGAAAAGTATAACTTCGGAACCAGTCGCAAAACAAATCAGTGTGTCCATAAGATGATTATGCACAAATCAAAGTACAGGAATTAGAAGAAACTCACTGACGACATTACTGGATAGTTTACCTCATTATGTCTTTCAAAATAAAGGTGAAAAAAGGATTCGTTTTTTGTTAACTAGTCACGACTGGCAGACATCTACAAATCCTGATGAGGCATTGCAAGTAAACTCATCAATGCAGATTCCTTAGATTTGTTTTTACAAGCAACAGGGACCATTTGCAGCTTTAAACTCTAATTGTCTGAGCCCCCTGGTGGACAAACTATATCACTGATTGTTTCTTAATAATCTCAAACCTACTTTGGAATTTCTGTACTGCTGTTTCTTGTTACTTGTTGCTTGTAACATATAAAGACACTGATAGAGCTGTAACAAACTCACTCTTCGAAAAGCAAAAGACAAAAGAAACCCAATTGCTTGATTCTGGATTCATAAGGAACACAGTGAGCTTTAGGTAGGGAGAATGGATCCACGTATCAGGTTATGAAGGGCGGTCTGCAGTTCAGACAGAGTGTTGGACCTTGAAGATGTTTAGTCTTGCAACCAAGCCACATTGCTATTTCCTATATTCTGTGAAGCAGAGAGTTAAATAGGTGGAAGTAAGGAGGAATAGGAAGCAGAGCAAGAAATCAAGGTAAGGACAAGGATCTAGGATGGCATATTTTTAAAAAAACAAAAACAAAAAAATTGCATACATGTGATTAACCCTCCGAACCCCTAAACTTTACCTTTAAAAGAATGTTTAATTGCCAAAATGTTTCCCCTTTATTACAGAAAAAAACTGTACAGCAGGAAGAATTATTAGATCAAGTTTTCTGACGGTCCTTGAACTAATCATTAAAAAACTGAACAAAAATGAAGTGTTGAAAAAGAAAAAAAACTAAAGAGTTTTGGGCTCCTCGGCACAACCAAGAAGCCATAAGTGACTCAGCTGTCATGTGACTCACTAATAGTCACATGACAGAAATTCATGGATTTTTCGGTTGAACTGCAGGCAGTGTTTACACAGAGCAGATAGTGGACGAGTATGGAAACAATGGAACAAAACATACTTGAGCAATAAAATAATGCAGCATGACTGAAAAACGATACACAAAAGAGCAAGATGTTGGAAGACCATTCAGCATGGTAAAATACGTCTCGGCAGTTGAGGTACATAGTAGTGGGAGCCTGCAGAGGTTGTAAAAATCTAAGTAGTAAATATTTATAGTATTTAGAGCCATGGTTTTTTTTCTTCCACTGGTGGTACAACCTGTGGGCACTTGAAGAAATTTTGTACATTCTGTTCAGAAGTTGTTTATTTATTTTTATTTTTTAAAAATTGCATAATCAAGGTAATTCCACAAAAAACACCCAGAGCCTGGGGTTCAGAGGGCTAAACAAGTGGTCATATTGGCATATGTTGCATGCTTTCACCTAAAAGCTTTCCGTCAGATATATGGATTGTGGAGATCAATTATTTGACTGGTAAAGGATCAGGAGACCACAATCTTCAAGGAACATGGCCGAATATCAGAACGAGAGACGGACTAGAAATCGCAGCAAAATGCCCGTGTGACAGAGGGAAAAACTAAAAACACGTGAGCTCACCAAAAAATGAAAAAGCATGAAAGTGAAAGGAAATGAGAAATTTCCAACAAAGCCTGCAGTGCCAGGAGAGACACTGAGAATGCAGCAGCAACAGTAGCAGCGCATAATAGAGTAAGGCAAAGCCAACAGAAAGGAAGTGACAGACTGTGTGTGAGTATTAACAGAGCGACCGACTGAGGCAGCCAGGCATCGGGAGAGCAGCCAGCGAGCCGTGTGTGTCCGTGTGTGAGTGCTCCATCACTCAAGACGCTCCACACCGAAAAAGCCCACACTGCTCCCACACTGCACCGCTCCACTCCTCTGTTCCCGCTTGATATCGGAGGCCAGTGAATAGGAGCCATCTGGATCTGATGCAGCAGCACGCACGGCTGCTGGGCCAACTGTACTTTTATTTATAACAGGAAATACTTTCTGGCTGTACATCGTAGGAGTGGGGAGGGAGGGGTGTGTAACCTCAGCGACATCGTTTCACCCCCTCCTTCCTTTCTCCGCTACATCTGTTCTGACTTCACTTTCTCCATCCTTTTCCCTTCACATTTCGTCCAGCCTCTGCTCTCCCCTCCCTCACTGCCCTGAGAAGAAAGAGGAGGCGGACACAGACGCTGGCACGAAGCTCAGGAAAACTGAGGACATGCAGCAGCTTCATTACAGTTCAATACAAAGAATTAAAGATGAGAGAAAGTTGTTATTGATGTGGTCTGCCAGGCTGTAGGAGTCTTTTCTCGTTGAGGCTGGAAGCATCTTGTGCTTATTTTCAAAGATTGTTTCCAGCCCTGTGCCATCTCCCCTGGATTTCCTCAGGGACGTGGGACAACCATCCGACACTGACCTCCAGTTTCATCATTTACCCCTAAATGTCTGCTGAGCACTTCACCGCAAAGACAAATCAGAGGAAGGATTAGGAACTTACACGTCAAACTCGTTCTCTTTCAGGATCTCCTTGAATCTCTTCAGGAAGATTTTCTCGCTCTCTGTTGAAGTGACAAAACCGCGATCTGGAAGACATCAGACAAATGTGTTCAATATTGCGTTGTGTCATTCCTGGGAACAGTCAGAGTTCCAGAGGTTTTCCAGACACCAAATTCTTAGCTGCAATTAAAACATTTTGGTCTGTAATCGTAGGGTAATTTTGCTGTCAGTCAACTTCAAGCAATTGATCCCAATAACAAAAAGAGACTGTACTTGTGCATTCCAGGCCAGTTCTTGTCTTATTTTCATTGCAAGGTATGATCTGTGCAGACCTGGATATTATAGTTTCATTTCCTTACTTTTCAGACCTGGGAACCTTGTTTGTGCTTGGATGTAGGTCTGAAAGCAAATATTTTATCACAGCACAGCAGATTAGCCTGTGACTATTTATCACCCCGTTTCCATGACAGCTCCCTGTGTGTGGGGATAACTCAGAGTTTGGCGAGATTAAACTTCTTGTTTGTGGTAAGAAGACAAACTTGTATCACCAATCACATGGACAGCACTCACAGAGATGATTCCCTGAATTTGTGGAGGTAATGGAAAACTCAAAAGTTGTCTTCCACTGGAAAGAGAGCTCAGCAATAAAACTAAGACAGATGCCTCAGCTGGATAATAAGGAGCTTGACATGATGGAACAATAGCTAGCCACAAAAGAGTTTGTACAGCCTCCAAACGCTGTCATGCACAAAGGCTGGTACCATTGAAATGAGAGATGCCACCCACATTAAGCGAATCTGAAAAACATCCACTCTCATCTGGCAGTCAACTTAAACAATATTACAAATTTCCACAACTTATGTAAAGGTTTAAAGTCGCTAATGTCATACATTTGATCATCATATCAAACACTTGTGGTAACACTGTATTCACCAAAGTAATCTCTGACATCTGAGAACACAAAAATGCTGCTGCAGTTAAGTTTTAGCAAGAAGATCAGACAAACAAATCAACAGTAAGCTGTGATGAATGTGTACAATTAAGAGAAGCCATTCTCCATTGTGTTATATGAATATATTCATTACCCATTTGAACCCCGAAACTTGCTGGAGGGGGGTTGAAAAGCACATTGTCTTTAAAAAAAAAACTGTCAAAATAACATCATTCATCAGCGCCAGAAACTGTACATACAGAAAAAAACAGTTCAGTTTTCAACCGTCCGATGGCCTTTGAACTAATGAGTGATGTTCAGATCTGTTGGGATATTAGCGAAGCTGAAGCTTAAAATTATGATATTTTGCCAAAATCACTTTATTCTACATACCTCATTCAAAAATAAAAGCTTTGCATCAGACTTTGTAAAAAACTAAATGAGTCTGTGCTTTATAACGTAACCAAAAAGTCATCAGTGTTTCAGCTTTGACAGCTACTAACTATTCAACTGAAATGTTTACTGTACGAAAACCAATTAAAAATCAGAGTCTTGGAATAGTTTGTACACACACAATGTTTTCC